GACATGACAGAACATCTAATGCAGCAATACGTACTGACTCATAAAGATAAAATGAAAATGGTTTATGAGATTATAAACGAATCATCCTTGCATGAGCGAACTAAAATCATAGAGAATAGAAATAAGGATCGAGAAGCGGAGGTCCAATACCAGCCTCAGCAACAGATATTCGTTAATAACCCCACAGCTTCCCGGCAAAAAATAGCACCCAGATATACTCATGACACCGTTTTAGCTGATTTACCAATTCATGTATATACCACCAGAAAAAAAGGCCCTATCGCGAAATCCCGACTGAAACGTGTCCCTAAATCCAATAAATTGTTACAGGACTCTTCTGACTCTCATCATCCACCTGACGTCGGCCCAGGAGATCCGACTTGAAAGCTTAGACAATGGACCAGGACTTTTACCATTCAAATTAGGACCCACACGATTTATCTCACATTACCATGCTTTTATTCATTACATAGACTTAACCGATATTGAAGAAAAATTGAATCATGTACAAAGGCAACTTTATGACTTCCAAAATAATGTAAAAAACGATACATATGTGCTGTACGAATTCCAGGTAGAACATTTGCGTAACAAATTAATAAAACAGCTAAGCAGTTATCTAGTTTAGAGCCTGCTCGAGTCAAAAGGGGTCTTATTGATGGGTTAGGGACAGTCATAAAAAGTATAACAGGCAACCTCGATTACACAGACGCAAAATTATATAATGATGCTCTTATATCAATACAAGATAACGAGGATAAAATTACATCTAAATTAAATAAGCACATTAGCATCTGTAAAGAATGGATTACTAATAATAGTAATATTCTATCTCAAATAACTGATAATCAAGACAAAATGAGTAAAGCTATAGAATCTCTTTTAGATAAAAATTCATATGTGGGATATAGTTTAATTAAAGGGTTTAGCCGGATACGTATGACGAGTCGGCCCCCAAATGGGAATCGATATTGAAACTTATGTTTTAATATAGACTTGATGTTCAAACACGATTTATGTACTTTTCGCGATCGACTTCCGCTTTGACCTTGAGATAGAGAGCAAAATATCCGTATGCTTGACTATTACTGAATGTGATATATCTCTGAAGCTAATTAAGATAAAGAAGTGAAACTAACGCGAGGTATTAGGTTACATTACAGAGTATATCACATATATTTTTTTATAATTTTTAGAATAAAAAATTACATTAAAAAAATAAAAATAAAAAAAACATGTTTTTTTTTCTGAGTTCTCTGTGACTTACAATCACGAAATTAATATATGTTATGCTCTTTTGTGTGCTCTATCACCCATAAAAATTGCGTGAAAAAAAAGTTGGTGCAACACAACGAAAAAAAATTATATGTGATTCGCGCCTTGTAGTGTGAGTGTATAAACAAACAAGTTCGAACTTGTTATCGAGCTGTTTACTGCATCGTTTGTTTAGCTAAAGTAGCAGTCATTTGTATTACACAAGAAGGCAGTTTGGGACTCAAATTTTGTCATAAGTATTTTGTATCAGCATTTTGAAATTATTAACTATCAAACCAAATCATTATTAAGTAATAATGTCAAGAAAGTGTAAAAATTGTAACAAGTACCTGTGTAAGATTCCTGGTTATAAAAAAATTATAAAGAATGAAGAAGAAGCTAAAGTGTTTAGTGACTGTTTGAATAAAATCGTAATAGTTAATGATATTTTTTGTAAGAAGTGTCGACTTATCCCATATATTAACAAAAAAGCTTCTACATCCAAATGTGCAGCATTTAACTTGGCCGAAATAATGGACGATCAAAATAATCTCTCAGTACAATATGTGAAATCAGCACCTAATATCATCAAAGCAGAAGTAAAATCAAGACATATAAATAGAAAAGTCTATCGAATTTACATTCACTATATTTCCGAAGGTAATAACTACAATAGTATTCTTCGTTATTGCTGTGCTTGCCCCAATGGCAAACGTACAGTGGGATGCTGTTCTCATGTAGCAGCTATTATTTATTATCTATCATATGGATGATATTTGTCCAAAATCGTACGTCCTGCTGAGGTCCTAACTAAGTTATTTACGACTCAAAGTGTTCCGATTGTAATTAATTACAACAGTGACGATGATTAATATTTTGTTTCTTGTATTTTGATAGACACGAAAAAGTAATAATAATAAGTATTGAACATTGGCTGTTTTTTTTTTCATTTCTTTTTTAACTATTATCCCATCTCTTAAGACTAGTTACTTATGTTTTAAAACAAGCTGATGTGAAATTTCGAAAAACAAAACAATGATGTAATGTGAAAACCTTATAATACAGGGGTATACCATAAGACAGAAATCACATATAATTTTTTTTCGTCGTGTTGCACCAACTTTTTTTTCACGCAATTTTTATGGGTAATAGAGCACACAAAGGAGCATAATATATATTAATTTCGTAATTGTAAGTCACAGAGAACTCAGAAAAAAAAACATGTTTTTTTTATTTTTTGTTTTTTTAATGTAATTTTTTATTCTAAAAATTATAAAAAAATATATGTGATATACTCTGTAATGTAACCTAACACCTCGCGTTAGTTTCACTTCTTTATCTTAATTAGCTTTAGAGATATATCACATTCAGTAATAGTCAAGCATACGGATATTTTGCTCTCTATCTCAAGGTCAAAGCGGAAGTCGGTCGCGAAAAGTACATAAATCGTGTTTGAACATCAAGTCGATATTAAAACATAAGTTTCAATATCGATTCCCATTTGGGGGCCGACTCGTCATACGTATCCGGCTAAACCCTTTATGAAAGTAGGTCAAATATTAAATATAATTAGTAATAATATTCAAGATTTATCTGATGAGTTAATAAGAATAGAAAATACGTTAGCTTTTATCCATATGTCCAGTACTCATCACTCGATGATCGATATAGATAGTTTAGGTTTGATTATGAATAAGTTAGGTAATACTTATAGTAGTAATCAGTTATTAAAATTAGAACTAAGACAATATTATGACATTATAAAGACAGGTTCATATTATACAGATAAACGCATAGTTATAATATTTAAAATTCCCATACTCTCCCCAGATATTTATCAACTATATAAATTATGTATTGTTCCTAATAATAACCACACCATTATAGTTCCTCCTTATTCCTATATAGCAACACACGAGTTACGTTCCATGTACATAGAGGCTGAATGCCCGAAGTACGGCCAGATTTATCTCTGTGAGGAAAATGTAAACCATCAACTACGTAAACCAGACTGTATTTATAAGTTAATCTCTGACAAATCTATAGATAGATCATGTAACCCGACGTCCATTACACTAGAAAAGGAAGCCATGGAGAAAATCGATGACCGCCACTACACACTTGCATTTCCTAAATCTACAGTGGTCCAGTTGCAGTGTGGCCGCGAAGATCACGTTGTTCTCAAAGGAAGCTACCTTGCCACGATTCCGAAGAAATGCTCTATTCATACAAAAGAGTTTACTATTATTAACACCAATGATGAAGTTCAAGGTCAACCAGTAAAACTTATGGAGATACCAGATAACTACAAAACAACGGCTACAACCCTTACACACTTTAAATTGAACGCGATCGACCTAGGAAAACTTCGCAGCATCCAGGAGAGAATGTCAGTAGACACACCACTGCAAATCAATCATCCATTGCACCTCGAGACCCTTTATCATACTACGATGCCTTTTTATATACTAATAAGCTGTGCCATCATATTCGCTATAATATTTATACTCCGGAGACGCTGTCAGCCTCGGAACAATCCAGCATCCAGCAACGACATTGAAGATAATGCGAAGATGCCCAAATATGAAGATCCCAAAGAAATAAGAGAAAATAAGCGAGAAAAATCTCTACCATCAACATTTTCACTCAAAGTGCTCAAATAGTTGCTGATCTGCGGGTGGAGGTGTTACATGCCTATACTACCACGAACGAGCTTACGTCGCTTATTCTAATATTTTACACAATAAAATATTATAATTGTGTAATTGCGAATTCAGCAGTATGGAACATCGGTCTACGACATGTGACTGCTGAGTCGACGCCTCGTGCTTCGCGCTTCGATGTCACCATCGCAGTTTTAGAACATTCATTCTCGGTACCTACTTCGTCCGAACCTAACATAAGTTTTAGATTTAATAAAATACTCTGTAACATTATTTTAATAAATAATTATAATTAAATCGGTTTTTTTTCGATCCTCCGGCCGCAGCCTTCGTAATTGGCTAGTAATTAAATAGCTTAGTTATTGTAATGTAATACTACAATTATTGAACTATTTATATAGATGGAATATTTCTTCTCAAATAAATTACTTTGCTAGGTCTATTTCGCGGTACCAAACGACAAACCAGGGTTTTGTCGTACATGTATCAATTCATGTTTGGAATTTATAATTATGAACCTTGTTTTTTTGGATAATTATCCGACGTATCTGATAATTATCCATAGTTCCGGCCACATTTGTTTTAAATACAGAAAAGCATACTACAATTTAATAAACTTTAATGTTTAATATAAAAAAAATAGACAGACAACTAGCCAGTTGCACAAGCTTTCATTTCTTTCTTTCATTAGTTTAAAGTGACATTACTCATAAAAAATTGACATTCATTAAGCTTAAAGACATCATTAAATCTTAATGGAAGTTTGTGCAACTGACTGAATATAAACAAAAAATTAACCGTGAAATCGCATTGAACAAGTGTAATGAAAATATAAATAAGAAGTTTTTTAATATAAAAGCCCCTTTTTAAAGCTTTTATTTTTTTGTTTTTGTAAGTTTCTCCTAGACAATTTTCTCTATCAAGAAAAACATATTTGATAGTTGTTTAAAGGTGATTCCCTTAATTATTTAGTATACATTTTTTTTATAATATATGTATTTTCAATGATAATTTATATTGCATGGATTTTTAAACTATCACGTGCACGGAATCCATATTTATGGCACATATATTGAAAATTACCTTAAGTTTTTGTATATTGGCCTTTACTTCTGATACCAATTTTTCTCTCATTTTCGCACAAACGTTTTCATGGACACCAATTTTGCCTGCAAACGGAATAATATATTAATTTCATCGACGACTTCATTAGCAGAATGAATCACACATCAGTTTCAATCTCTGATGTCGATTCCTGGATGAAAGAAGATAACACAAAATAAACTTTTTTTAATTTATTTCGGGTCTGGCTTCTTCTTCTTTCAGATTTAATAAGGCTTCACTCACGGCTACTTGAGCTTCAGCTCCTAAATATCTATTTATTTATATATTATTAGCTGTCTCCCGCGACTTCGCCTTAATATAAGTAAGTATAATATCCTGTCACTTAAACTACGTATATATTAACCTCCCGTAGGTGAAACAATTTTTAATATCGGATAAGTGTGACTTTTTTAAAATTGGAGATTGTTGAAGAGCTGGAAAATGATATAGGCTTCTTTTTGTCTTTTCCTATTCCCCCTTTAAAATAATTGTGAAACTTTGTATGGGGCATTCGGCAATTTTCAAGGCAGCAAGTAAAAACTTGGTATGCTGGCTCTGTAACAAACGAACAATACGCGCACCATTTTTTTGGAAATCTACCCCCATTCCTTTAGAAGTGGGATTAATATTTTGTATTGGGCTTTCCGTAGTGTTAAAGTTAGAAAGTCATAAATTGGTATGCGGACTATTTGTTACTAAAGAAAAATAAGTTTATAATTTTCCTTCGAAAATCTGGCTGTTTGAGCGTTTTTATAAGTGCTGCCCAAAGTAACTATACCACGCGAACGAATAAATATACATACAGCTAGTATTAGTATAAAATAGTGAATCACCGTCTTCTATGGTGGCTGTATGGTCGGCGAAGCGTAAGTCTTGTAGTTGTTCAGTACACGTGCGCATATCGTTGTGGGCCACGCGGAAGAACCCGCCCATGTCCCACGCGTTGGACAAGCGACGGGTCTCGCCCACGCACCATAACCGGTACGTGTGGATAGAATGATCTACCGCCAAAAAACTGAGTTAACATTTCGCCCGTAAACTAATCAATATTAAATTATGAAATATGTTGGAAATGGCAACTTAGTAGTATTTTTTTTTTATAAATTAAAATAATATTTTATTTTGTATCGGAATACAAGAAACGAGAGCGGTTGTGATATAGTATCGTGTGACGTCACATTTCAATAAACTAAACGTCAGTCTTTGTTGGGAGTACGACCGCTACTTATGTTTATTGTAATGTGACGTCACTGCTCGAAATTTCACGTGACTGATTTTTTTCTTAGAACAATTAAAATTAATGATTTAAAACATGTTTTTCCTTTACAACACTTTTTGGCGAAAATAATTCTGTTAGTGGTTTAATATGATCATATGAAAGTTTTAAAAATACTTTTTCCAAAATAATGAAGTGGTCAATTGATTTAGCTTAGTATAGTATCGTACAAATGGGACAGTGAAATTACCAATGATATTATTGGCTATGTGCACGACTTCAGCGACACGTACCTCATCCGTACGCGACCTCAACGTACGCACTAGCCCACACTTAATTTTCCAAGATACTAATTATAGCTATATCTATATTATACCATTTCTAGATCTAGCTCAATGTGAATGTATCATATCTTCCTTTATAATATCATTTTCAAAAGGTGATAATATTTATTTATTCAGATAACAAACAATCACACACAAAACAATTTTGAAGGTATTGTTAACAAACAGACCTATAGTACTATAGATTGATAATCCTAATATTAGCAATTAATAGTGCATGAAAAAGAAGAACATCACATAAACAGTTTAAAACAATAAACAACCAATACAAGATCATAGACCATCCATTATAAAGGTATTATATATTACCATTATTAGGTAGGAATATATGTCTTACGAGCAAATAAATTTACAATTCAAAAATCGCACAAATGCATATTACAATAGTTGACACTATGTTGAGTGTATTTTGATTAAATTAACTATACAACTTACCTAATCTGTGCAATATAGGTATCTGTTCGACGATAGGCAAGTCTTCTAAAGGAGCTCCTAGTATGTAATCCCACGTTACCTCACATTGATTGTTTAGTCTAACTAGTTCTTGTAACATTATAGCGAAGTGAGCACCAGATGTTGTGCACTTGAAAAGAGAAAAAAATAACGCTTACTATCTCTCTCTTCTTCTTCTTCCTTCCCTTTCTACTTATACAAATAAATTTATTGTACAGTCAACAGCATTTTAGGTTATACAAATCTGTCAAACTTCTTAACTTGATTTTGAGCCTTAATGCATTGACCGTAGAGTTTATTTATTTATTTATTTATTCATTCAACAAAGTTTCAACAGCAGTTTTGTTACTTCTATACAAAAATAAGTATGCAGCATTGACGCCAATTATAGAAACTTATTATGTTTACAAATCTTATTAATTATATAATCATAATGAGGGCAGTTAACAAAGAAAATGCAAGTATTAGAAAAAAATATACATATTTATAAATTATATCGCACGACAAATTAGGTGTATGTATGTATGTATGTGTGTGTGTGTGTGTGTGTGTGTGTGTGTGTGTATGTGTTTATATGTTTAAATAAGGTGTGCGTATCTAGAACTTCAATTCATAATTACGTAATTAACTCTAAAGACGGGGCCAAGTTGAACGCACGGCGACCGCGCATCGAGTGGGTAAGGCAGGCAAAGATACCTACGATACAGAGGCACATTCTACTGTCGGGCTTACATGGCGCGAGTAACAACAACTCAAACAGGCAATGGCTCGTTAAGAACCATTAATAAAATCAACTCGATTACGTATAAATAATAATAATAATAATTATAACAACAATAAACAATTACAATAATAGAACTAACTAACAATAATAGAACTAACTAACAATAATCATCTCAATTCATGACGATCCGCACTGACAGATCTGACCAAAGCGGCCCTAAATGCATTTCTGGACATAGAGAAAAGGTCATTTCCGGAAAAGCATTTATTGTAAGTTCTAGGTAATCTGACTGTCACGTCATTGGCCTCATAGTTTGTTCTTACAAGGGGTATATGACATAGTTCCGTGTGTCGCGACCGCTTCGTTGGTGCATTCAAAGACACCATTCTGTTAACTAACCCGATGCAATCTAATTGTCCCGAATAGATATCGTAAAGAGTGAGCATATCTCTTATACGACGCCTGTCCCTAAGACTAACGAGACTGTGTTTACTACAGGACTCCTCGTAACCACTTGAGATATAGTTGAGTCTGAAATTCAAGTATTTTACGAACTTCATTTGTAGTTTTTCAAGAGCGTGTTCGTGAGTGACATATTTTGGATTATAGTGGATTATATTGGACATATATTGGAGTTGATCATAAATATCGAAATGTTGAACTATTATATCCCGGCCTGCAGAGGGCCAATTCAAATAAATAAATTTTGTTTAATGAATCGAAAACGGATCGAAACCGAACGAAACTACAGTTTTTAATGGTTTTCCTATTCTACTAAGTGACATACGATACAATTCCAGCTATAATAGAACTAGAATAATAGAACGATCCGTTTTCGATTCGATTTAAACAAAATTTTATTTAGTAGAATTGGCCCCCAGTTGTCCACCGAGGGTTCCGTATAAAATAGATCAAAAACAATTTTATTTTAAATGAGGACTAAAGTTAGCACTTGGTTGAAACCGCTAGCCGTTTAATCAAATATGGATGATGCCTGGGTAAGGAAAAAATAAATTCTACTTATTTATTAATAGCAGAGTTACATAATGGCTTTGCAAGTATTTAGTCAAATCATAGTAGTTAAAAGTTACAAAGATATGTTACTGACATAGATGTCACAATATTACTATCATAGACACTGCCAGGATGTGGTAAAATGTAAATGATTGAGATTCTTTTAATGTGTTATTATAACTAAATATTACCAGAATTGGCCTGTTGGTATTTAAATGAAATTTGTTATTTGTTAACCGAATATAAAGCTTACCTCTGTTATGTAAAGTGATAAGTCGGGGTGACCCTTCAACGATGTCGGTTTCAAGTTTGTCGTTAAAGTTGCCCTGCAATGGACAAGTACAATTATATAAAATGTTATACTACAATAATAAATATTTTTCATAAAAAATAATTATTCTTGTTTGCGATAATCTAAAGTTTTTAAAATCTCTAGAGTATCTCATCGCCACAGATGCCATATGTCAATAGCGCTATGAACAGAGTTTAAAAAGTAAAAAATAATAATAGAAACTCAATTTTAAAGTACCTAACTATTTGTATTAATAATTTTAAAAAATACGTTGCATTAGGGGGCGTATTAAATTGTTAGGTTTGGAGCGTTTAGGTTAAAGCTTTTGTCGTTAAATGTTTACTGCGATGAGAGCTTTAGATTCAGATTAATATATAAGTAAAATAAATGCTTTCCCTATTTAGCTCAGGATTGCAGAGTAAGATACAACTGATGTAACTCATTGAGTACCTACGCAAAAGCACAAATTTCGAAGCGCGGCAAATGGCGACCAATCACAAGATTCAAGTATTAAGGTATTGGCGATCCACAAATATCCACGTGCCTGACCTCCGCTGAGTGTGAGTTAGACGGATACTTAATGCGTTGTATTTTACACCTTATAATTATTGAAACAAGGCTCGCTAAATATTTTAATCGTTCGATTATCGTCGGATAGGTAGATCTGGTCTGCGCAAATTTACTAAGCACCACATTAGTTGGTACTTACTAAACAGCATTACGTTTATTATTTATCAGTGGCCTGTTCTCATATAAACTTTCCTCATGAATCACCTGTATATTGATGAAATTAGTTTAAGAACTCAGCGTACAGACAACAGGAAGCGACATTGTTTTGTACCATGTTTAGATTTACAATGTGAGATCATACCCAAAATGTTTATCCCAGGATGTAGTGGTAACATGGCAACCCAACGCATCAGCTAATATCCTCAATGCAGACAAAATCAATTCCGGAGTGTCTGCGAGAAAAAAAAATAGCTTGATATTATAGTTTTTTGCATTATATGGCAAACATGTACGGTTGTTGATGTAACTGCAACGCGTTCACAGAATAATTCTTTTAATACCTATTTTAATTATAAACTTTTTTGAACTTACTATAATGTGTAGAAAGAGTAAATATATGGTTATGCATTTAATTACTGCTAAATATAATCCGGTTCTTTAGTTTCTTTAATAGGAAAAGTCACAAAAAAAATATTGTAAATAACTATTATTAACATTTGAATAATTATTTTACTATTTAGTACACAAACTGTAGGTAGACAAAAATCTAACGTAACCGTACAGTAGGGTGACAACACGTAACAACGTGTTTATAAACACACACATCCCAAACGTAAGTAAAAAAGAGCAAAAGGCCTGGAACGATTTACAGTGAAGAATGCAATTTTAAAATGGATGTACTGATTACAAAATATTTTATGTATAATCTATTTTATTATATTCTAATACTATTATGAATGATGAATGTAAAAATTAAACTTAATAAATACTCACTGTTTACATTGAAAGTACCGAATAACCATTCACGTAGATTTTGACTTGTGTTTGGTGATCTGTAAAAGTAAACAAAGATTATGATGATGAAGATTATGAAAATTTACATGAATAATATTATATTAAAGTAGAGAAGACTAAAATGGTTCAAATAAATACAGCGGCAAGTCATTTATTTATTTATTTAATACACAATGAACAAATGTAAAAAGTTGGACTTAATGGCTTAGGAATTCTCTGCTAGTTAATCTTTGGATGATGTGGAGATAAAATTATGTTGAGCATAGGTGCACATTAATGTATTATCATAACCTTATAAAGTTGTTATAAAAAATTAAAATTTCTGCGAAACTAACTTCATTTAGAACTATTAATCATGAAGAGATATTTCTAATATCGAACGAGAACAGTCTGATATGGGATTGTCTCAACAAAAGCGAAACGTATGGCCACATTAGTTAACCCAGGAAAAGATCAATACACTGATGATGACGATTATTTACACGTGTTTAAAATACTAATGTTTTAAACTATACTATACATATGCATTCCGATTTTCTTCCGGATGTAATAAAAGTAATATAGAACTTCGAAAGTAATATAGTGTCTATTTTTAAATGTTTGCGTTGCTATTATTATTATTACGATTTTTTTTATATAGCAAAGGTAATTTTTTTTTACTGTAAGTATAAGTAAAGGAACGAAAAACATTATTTTTAAATTATGGCCTTGTTCCATTGTCTTTGATCACTTTCGAAGACATCGTTTCAAATCAAGACTTGACAGAAACGTGTCGCCATCTAGTGACATTTATTTTAGTACTTTCCTTTTTTATGGATTTAAAAAAGGTTTCATTACATTTCACGGCTAAGTTAACTTATCATAAAGACTTCAATTTCTTTCTCGAACATTGTTTAAAGTACGAGTATTAAAATACCTGATAGCCAAAGGAAATGCCGACCACCACAGCAATAAGTGTTCAAGACAGCTGCCCACGTCGCCCCACAGTACGTTTTGATAATACTCGGTAACTTTATGGGCCGCTTTTTTACTAGCTTGCATACGACCTACAATATCAAATACATAGTAAACACGATTCTGATTAACTGAATTAAAATAAAATACATAACGTATTTTAAAACTAATTTCAATTAAATAAGGTTCAAAATGTTGTTACAGATAATACAGTGTGTTTTTAATGAATATATCGTCTAATTAAAATTTGCAGAAAAGAAAACATAAAGTTCTATTTAGATTTTTTCGTTATATTACATAGAATTTCGTTCTTGTCAATAGATACGAGTGTGTTGTATTAGGTAAAAATCCTTAAATGCTGAATAAATTTACCTGGTTTAGTTAATTTTGCGAGTAACGAGTAGCTCGGTGGCGTAGTGGCTAAGCGCCGCGGCCCGCGATCGTAGTCGTTAAGCAACTTTCGCAAGGGTCGGTCATGGGATGGGTGACCAAAAAATTATTATCTCGAGTTACTCCGTGCTTCAGAAGGCACGTTAGGCCGTTGGTCCCGGCTGCATTTGCAGTCGTTAATACCCTCCAATCCACATTGGGCAAGCATGGAGGGTCATGACCCATCCTCCTTAACCATCCATAAGGAAGGCCTGAGCCCCTGCAGTGGGGACGTAAAAGGGCTGGTGATGATGATCAGTTAATTTTGCATTCACAATTTTATACAAAAAGAAAGATTTCTACAAATATTTAAACTATTTGTAGAAATATTTCTTTCGGCTGTTTGGGTCGATTGCCTAAACATTGATGAAAATACGCTCTGTAGTAGCGAAAAAGTAACAAGTGCTTGAAAAATTCGTGAGTCCTGTTAAGTCCTGGGAAGCTCAATGGTTAGAACACTTGTCCGGATTTCGATAGGTCGTGGGTCCCATCTCAGGGTGCCAGGGACAAATTGGATTTTTTAAGCATTTCTCATTAAGATTAATTTACCTGATTTCAATTTCCTCGTGCCATTATTTCCCAGCAAATTAGGTGACATATTAGCCACTGTATCCAATAGTATTTCTATATACAATTCTTCACTTTGTAATATTGCGTTTACATTATCTGCAAATAAGTTTAATACAGCTTCGGCAGTGTTAAAGAACGTTAAGGTATCTGTACCAGCATGACTTTAGATTATTAAGGCATTTGTAACGAGGCCTACATGGCTATATATGCTTAAGGCATCACCAGTATAGCCTAGCCGAGTTGCCGGTTCTTCTCGGTACAATGTCTCCCGCCGTAGATTTACGAACCGGTGGCATAGCTCTCGACTTTCACAATTGCTTGTAACAACAGCCTAGACTGAATAAATAACTTTGATTTGATTTGATAACTTTAGGTGAACGCAAACAATACGAGTGAAATACGCCGAAGGAGGCGAAAGAGAGAAATTTTAGAAATCTTTTTAAAAACATGAAATATCCGCACGACAAGACGAATCGTCCGAACTCTAAAGTCAACTGTCATTTGCAAGGTGTAAAATAGTTTCATTCGTCTCCTTCGGCTCGGATATATCTGCAGTCAGCCTAAATTGTGACTTGACTCACCAGTAGCGAGTAGGTACTTTAAGACTGTCCTTAGCATATTTTGAGCTATTGAATTCTATTTCGGGAAAAAAGGCGCAAGATATTACTCAAACATTCGAATTACAGATTAATACTATTTCATTAACACACCTTCATTATTAAACATATCTAGAATGCATTCGTTGGTGAGCAAGGAAGCATAAGTGACGTCACAGTCAGAGTTCTGTCCGTTCAGGATCTCGCTTAGTTTTTTATTATGTTGGTTCTTCAAATCGATCAAACTACGGGCTTGCTTCATTTTCGCCTTCTTGTTCTCTATGAACGCCTCCCGACGTTTCTCCAGAGACATCTCCCGGGATACGGTTGACGTAGGTGGCGTTATATGTTTTGTTAAAGTGCTGAAAGTTCAATTCAAATAAATAATTCTCAGTCCAGCCCTGGGTTTCTGTAAAAATCGAAACCCGAATTCGAATTCAATCAGGTGTCCAAATTCACTTTAAAAAGCGGCATCCGTTCAATCTTGAATTGGTAATAACGTTACATGGCATAAGTGAAGTGAGTTTCGAAATTATATATAGAATATCTGAGCCACTATATACAAGGTGTTAGGAAAACGCTTCCGAATCTTTAACATGGTTATTATACCATATTAATGGAGTCCTACAAAAATATTTGTTTACTTGAATAATTAGTATTTAACGAAATCGTATTTTCTAAGCACGCAATGTAAAACGTACAAATACACGGGTGAACGACCGCGCGGCGCGAGCGCTTTTGATAGTTGCACACATGCATAAACGAGCTCACACAAACACACACAGAGACGATCGTAAGTACTACGTAAAGTAATTTATTACAATAACCTTTAATTTTATTATAAGTAACGATTAATTTAACCAGTTAAACTTAACATCATGATTTTTATTGTAATGCAAAAACGTACTTACCTGTTCATGTTCTCCGCGGTCTAACTAAGTGTGGCTCGAATTGTGCCCCATTCATCTCAACACAAATTCGAGCCCGTCGCCGCGTCTCTTCGTGAAGTCGAGGCATGAGAGTTGAGTCCTCGATACAACTCGTTCTTATTGTCTCGAATGCACTCACAATTCTTGCCCGCATTTCCTCAGCACTGTCACAAACTCCATTGAACACTTTTTCTTTAACACACCCCCACAAAAAAAAGTCCAAAGGTGTCAAATCAGGAGATCGTGGTGGCCAGGCTTGCGGTCCTAATCGCCCGATCCTACGGTCACCAAATAGTTCAGTGAGACGCTCACGTACCGGCCGTACCACATGCGGCGGTGCGCCATCGTGTTGAAACCAAGCCCTTCTTAGCTCAGCTAATGATATGCCTTCAAGAATTTCATCAAGGCTCTCATTAATGAACCTAAGATACCCAGCTCCGTCAAGTCGTTGTGGTAGAAACACCGGCCCAAAGATAACATTGTTGAAGACGCCAGCCCAAACGTTGACCGACCATCGGGTTTGGTGGCCAGTCTCTTGAGTGGCACGTGGATTGGTTTCAGACCATAAATGTGAATTTCGTCTATTCCACATGCCGTTCCTTGTGAATGTAGATTCATCTGTCCAGATAACATGCTGAATAAATCCTGGAAGACGCTGTTGTTGATCCAACAACCAACGGCAGAAAGTGTGACGACGGGGTAGGTCTTCGGGTATCAAAGATTGCACTTTATGAATTTTGTAAGGCCGCATTCTGTTTCTTCGCAAAACTTTGTACACCGTCCAATGCGAAACTGAGGGCCCATTTGGCCGCTGCAGTAACTTCGCAGCAGTCCTCGTGCCCAAACGGGGGTTGCGTTGGATCACATCGAGAATACGCTCCTCGGCTGCAATGTCTATTGGTCGCCCACCGCCGACCGCCACCGGAACGATCGGTTGATTCTCCAACAGTCGTTGAAACGCAGCAGTAATGGTTCGAGAGTCTCCTGGATGATGCACATTAGGAAATCTTTCCCGGTAAATTCTCAAAGCTAGAGAAGCATTGCCACGTGCTTCTCCAAAACACATAACCATGTTCCCATACTCACGAGCACTGTACACATACGCATTAGGCATGATGAGATGCACTTATTGTCTAATAAAACTTAAAATAAACACTAAATAAATAAACCTCACACGCTCAACTAAAAACTATGATAACTAATTTAACGAAATAAACTTTAAAATACGCATTCGCAAACCGAGATGGAAAGTTTTTTGCCACTGGTCGGCCTCATGCCTCGCTCATATCAAAGAAGCCGCGATCATTCGTTCTTCAGTTCTTCCTACTGAATATTCGAGTGTTGCAACTTTTTCACCAAATTCCCAAAATTGTTTTAGAAATGAAATCTGCAATTGAATGGATTGTGCATTACGTGTTCGATCAAATTTATGTTTTAACATTGTGAATTATTACAAGAACTGATATCGTAAGTAATTTTTAATAATACCGAAATAAACCAAATGAAAATTGTCTGAAAGTGTACGCTATACTAAATTATTTTTATGACAAAATAAGTAAAATGTTTGAAATAATGTTGTGCATCATTAATAATGGTTTTCACCGTATCCTAATAAATAAAAATAAGACAGAGAAATTATTATCCGGGTACCGTTTTTGTTAACCGATTGGCAGGAACATTGGCTAACGTAACTTAACCAACCTTATTTGCGACGCTCTTAACTTATTGTTATACGAATAAATTTTTAAAAGTGATTAATGTTATTTCAATAACATCAACTTCAATTTAAAAAAAAAAAATTAATAATACCATGTAATCAAAAATATTAAAAAGATAGATAGATATTTAAAATATAGCTTACCTTTCTTTAATATCATACAATTTTTATGGAATTTATCCCGTAAAAAAATTACCCAATTAAGGGAAAAAATTAGAGCTGGCAGCACGTGTAGCGGCAGCATGTCTCAGAAACCGGGAGCGGACGGACCGGAAAAGTGAAGCGGCATCTTCTATAAACACACTCACCGGTCACTGCAGTTCGCAATGATATCTAGGGCTGCCACTCATTTAGCAACAACTTAGCAACTTTAATAGTAATTAATTATGTGTTTAGATTTATAAATAAAGTTTGTCGTAAAAGTACTAAGTGAAGTTTTACAATTCAACATCGCGTTTAATCATGAATAACCCGATAGGATTATACTATTGGGTTAGTCATGGAAAGTAAGTATTTATTAAGAGAAACGACTATTCCGCTTTTTTATAGTTTTCAAATGGAAACAAGAGAAATAATTATGCTAAAATTGAATCGGGAAAAAATTCAATTGGGACTCCCAATAGTTTTTCATAAAGTTTACTTTTTTAATGATTTCACACACACACACACACACACACTTCTGGAGAAATGAAGTTTCTTATACATTTAGATTTTGATGAAATAAAAATGATTTAACACCTTCCCCTCATTTTAATGAAATGTATTTATCTGATCTTTTTGTGTTTTATAAAACCTAAATAAATTACTATGCGAGTTAAAAGATATCGTTATTAGTTACATGCTCTGAATAAAATCAAATGATTTTTGTCTTAAACTTTTCTGCGCTAACGTAAAAAAAACTCATTAAAATAAAGCTCACATTTTAAAGACAAGTAAATAAAAAAGTGCACTTAGCAAAATCATGTAATGTAAGTTTTATTTTTAAAAATTTACAAAGATAAAAATTTTGTAAATACTAGAGTTACTAAACCGTTTTGAAATGTTTAGTCGAAACAAATGTTTTCCAGAAGAACATGCATTTTATCTAGTAGGTTATTCAAAAACGATATTTACTCATTAAAAAGTGGCACCCCTTAACACGGAAACACTACCGATTGATTTTGCTTTACACTACTAGATGGCGCTGCATCTATCATTCTCATTTGCTATATCATCAAAACCGCCGCGATTTGCCGCTAGATGTATCTAGAAGTTTACGAGCTTGGCCTGCAGTATCTTCGCTCTCGTTTTTACTTATTGTTATAGCGTGAAAGGGAATGATCATCAATAAATAACAATTTGAAAAAATAACAAAACGCCGTTTTAAAACTACTTTTAGTAATTGCGTTTTCATTGCATTTTCTTAATAAAACACAGGAAAATGGGTACCTAAACTAGCAACGTAGAGAACTAAGAGCTTTTCGTCGCTAGATGTCGCTGAAGTTTCTCACTCGTATCTTCTGTCTCTTTTCATTCTACCAGTGGTGAAGGAAAAAGAATGAAAGTGCCCTTTGAACGTACCAAAGGTTATTGAACTCTCGGGGTCGTCTACCGCCGATCAGCTGATTTTTTCGAGTTTTAATTACATTGCGTTTTTATGGAAAATCAATAAATAGACAAATTTATTGATAAAAATAGTAATACTTAACTTATTTTACATCGCTAAAAATGAAAAAAAAAAAATAAAAATAACATATTTTTTTGAAAAATAAAGTAATCATTTTTTCATTGCAATGTATCCAGAATCACTTACTCTATCACTGGTTTTCGTTTTCGGAAGCGTTCCCCTAACACCCAGTATAATCAATCAATTGGGTTTTGTATTTTTATACAAAAATGGAATCAATTTCATCACTAAATGAACTGAATTCGGGTTCGGAATTTTTCAGATTTGCCCTGCAAGCCTGAACTCGGTTGAAAGATTATGTTTTCGATATTATAAGCATTACAGGACTTTACTACGTTGACCGAATTAACTGGAAGGTACCTATTCATATTTGGAGACCGCTTTGGCGATTTAGAGCTAGTTTAAAATATTGTTAAAACTCCTTTTAAATTCTAACAAATATATATGAGCTGTTGACATCGCTCCCGTAAATTATAGCCTATGTCATCCTCGTATAATGTAGTTTCCTATAGGTTAAAGAATTTTCATGACCGGAACAATGTTTCCGAAGATTATACCCAACAAATAAAGTTAGAAACTTTATACTTACTGGTATATTTCCAAACTTTCAGCAGTACTAGAACCGGACTCGTTGTCAGAATTGTCTTCAGGCTTGTAAACTTTTACCAGACAATTTATAAGCCGGTGGCAATTGATTTCTACTCGGCTCTTGGCTAGGATCTAAAAAAAAGATCCATTATGATATACTTATATACATTTTTTTTCAATAATAATTCTAATTCAATTTATGCCTTGATGGTGGATTCGAAAAGATCTTGTACCAATGGACTGGAATAGTAATCTTTTACTATTTGATGAGTGTAATAACCAGTGGTCGGAATTAGGTAGAGTTATTAACATACCTACCTAGTATCGCTTGCATCAAAATAAAAAAATATGGATTTAGCTATATATTTTTTTTCGTTGCTACTACCTACTATAGATAGGTCTCTGACTCCAGTAACTTAAAATTAAAGATACCTGCATGATTTAAAAGAAATTGACCAAATATGGTTTAGTTTGGTATAATAATGAAACTTCTATCAAAAATGAAGTGTTTCATAGTTTATTAAATCATCTTAAAAATCAAGCCAAAAAGAAGTAAAAAAAATGCAATCATCGGAAAGTTTAGTGATAAAAACCACTTGCACTATCATATTTGGACATTGTCTTGTAAAATTAATGATCGATTATTCGAATTTCAGTTCGATAAATCTATACTCCGGCAATTAATAACGAATTACGTTTAATTAGAATTTCAAAATCTAATCATATTAGAACTTTTACCAAACTTGATGAGTTTTCATTGGGGAAATCCTAAAAAATCCGGCGATTTAGAGATAAAAATGTTTTGTGTATATGGTATACATTTGAAACCTTACGAAAGAACACTGTTACATAAAGGCAAATCGTGAAACAATATGAAACCAGATTCCATACATCGATGGGCATTCTCCTATAACATATTTATTAAAATGATAACAAACAGTTACCTGAACAATTTTGGTGAGGGTTATATTTTTCGTTTCGCTTATGGTGTTAGGGTAGGTATTACTGCATACATTAAACTTCGCCGCAAACTTTTTATAGCTTAAACCGAGCAGCTGATTATGTATCGATACTAAACTGAAAATTACAGAGAAGCGCCATCTATTAGAATACTACGAGTACTTAGAGGTTTGCGTACGAGCTATGGGTTTGAAATAAAAATTATGAGTTTTTTTTGGAAATACTGACCTCAAACAGGATTCGATCATCTTCCTAGAGTCCTCTCGATGTAGACAGTTGCTTAGTATAGTATGGATAAGGCCGTTAATCGCTTGCAACATTACGAAGCGGCATCCGCATAGCTTATCGAACATGTGATCGTGCTTACTCATTATCAGTCCGTCTTCCTTCTTCAGCCTTGCTAATTTGGGGTTCAGTTTATAAAATGACCTTACTAATTTATTTAAATACTCAATCATCTGATCAAGCACCTAAAAAGAAGTATTTTTTTTTTTACTTTATTGTTTAACTTTTTTATTATTGCCTTTTCTTAATAACTTTACACTTGCAACAATTGACACGTAATGGTTTTATTTTATTAATATATAATAAGAAGGACTCGTTTGAAAGTTATTTTAACTTCTTAGTACATTCAGAAATAGCACATAAAATATTCACAAGGAAAAACATCGATCAGCTGACGAAACAAAACAAATCGATTTATTCACCTGTATATTGACCAATTCCATTATATAACTGCGGTTGGATAGGGAATGCCCGAACGTCTTCTCCGGCGAACCTTTCCATTTGTAATCCAAGTCTAATATAATTTTTGTGGCGGCATAACAAACAATTTCCATCTCTCTACAATGGCTGAATACATTCTCTTCGTCCGCAGTCTCTTCACTAATCCATTTCTTGCTGCTTACTTTAGCTGTGGTCATTTTTAATTTATCTAACTACTTTAATAAATGTAAATAAATATATTTTTCTTTTTGTACGTGTTAGCATTCTGGTTTCATGGTGAGTACTGAAAATGCGGCATCGTACTGTATAATATAGGGAATCGATGTAACAGAGATGTCGGTGCCAGCCGTCCGCGACGCGGAGTATTTAAGCTCTTGTACGACAAATTGCGAATTGGTATCGTTAAAAGTTTACTGATGTTACTCGACCTTCGTGTCATGAGCAGTTAATAGTTTGTAATTTTCCAACCGATGAATGATGATAGGTATTAATAATTACACTTCAGTATTATAATAAAGAATTTAAAGTTTCACTATTAATTTATACTTCACTTTAGTGTCTATTAAAATACTTGTGATTCAGAATAAATATTGATTCAATAGAGTTAAATTTAAAACTCGCATTTCAACTAAAGCAAAGAAATTATAATAAATTATTATTATTACTAAGAAACAACTTATATGGCTTTTAGTTTTCGTTATATATGTTTTTTTACAATCGTTGCTTGTCTATACTAATATTATAAATAGGAAAGATTTCATTGTTTGTTCGTATTGGATAGGCTCTGAAACTTCTAGACCGATTTCAAAAATGCTTCCACCTACGAGAAACTACATCATATGCGGTTGACATATTCTATAGTTTAAACGAGCAAAGTTGCGGAATAACCTCTAATGATAAGATGTAACATGACTATAAACGAATTTAGACAGCAGTTGTAAAACTAAGTAAATGTAAATTTTATACAACAAGCAATATTTCAACAGAATATGAAGGCATAGAGAATATATAAAATCCTACTGATGTTATTTTAGCATATAATCGATTATGAAGCGAGAAAATAATACATTTTCATGAGAGGTCAAGGAGAATACAGCGAACGTCGGTAGTTTGTATTGATATCAAGTTTGCGATCTACAATACTTAATGGATTATACTAGAATTTCAAGAAAACATTAACTTCATATAGGTACGATATAGTTTTATTTCAGTAAAATTATAGTAAAACAAAACCAAATCAAAATGATATAAGTACAAAATGATTTTCGTTTTGCAATTTAAAGCAGTTTTAATAGGGAAAAATAGGGACGGCTACGAATAAAACAATAAAAAATACAATTATATACAGATGACACGTTTATTTCCAAAAAAATAAAGAGTTATAATTATTATTAAATAATTTTAACATTCAGGAAGATGATATCACAGTAAACCTGAATACGTTTAAGTAATATATGTAGATGTCGTCAGAGACACGAAAAAAACGCAGGTTAGTTTGTAATAATATATTTTTTTTTCTATAAAGGTTTAGTTGATTTTCCATTATTATCGTACACAATGCAGAACTTTATATTTCCCGATATTGTCTCCGCAGGCAAATTAGAATCATACGCTCAACGTTTTAATGTTAAAAATCAACCGCAGAAAATTTATAGATTGTTATGCTTTCGATTGTACGTGTACGTACTACACCATAGCCTTTTAGCAAATATATACCTAAATAAAAAAAAGAGATCTAATATTGTAAAGATAACGGATTCGTGGAATTTTACCAACATTTGCTCAATAACCATGATTTAAATAATTTGTAAAGAAAAAACTTTAACTGTTCCTTAGGAACAAATTTTAAAATTGGACTAACATAGCTTTGTAAATTACTTTTAAATATATTTTTGTTTAAATTAGGTTTACTACTTTATTGTGACCAAAAAAAAGTAAAAATTTGAAAGCTTCTCTCGATAAACATACAAAATATAAGTTATTGCTTTCTTCTTTCTTGTATCAGTGAAAATTAAAATACAAAATCAGCATAGGTTCAAAGCAGTACTTTTGTAAATATCTGTTTCAAATCAACATTTTGAACCTAGTAACCTAGATTTGGAACATTGACTTTGGGTTCATTATTAAGTGTAAATTTATTTTAAAAATGCATTTGACAGTTTGAAAATTAATAATAATATATATTGTTCGACTCGTAACATCGGTAATAATTCTCTGCAATAATACCTGTAGAAATTATATCATATGTACTTTGACATATATTAATGCTTTCTAAACAAGATTTTCGTTATATTTAACTTATTTTAGGCTATTCAAAGTGATTTAACCTGCAAAAATGGTAGGACGTTAAAGTATAGAAGATCAGAACCATTACAAACTTTACTTTCAAATTTCATTTTAACGTCCATATTGTCAAATAAAATTTCACCCCAAGATCTTCCTTACATCCAAACAATTTTTTTAAAGGAAAATATTAAAGTATAAAAAAAAAGATATGATTCAACACCGAAAATAGAAGAATTTCATTATAAACACCCCTATGACCTTTAAGGCGTGTGCACATTGTGTTATTTATTGCACCGTCATTGTCACGATAGCATTATAAATAAATTATAACCCTTTCTACTTTCATAGTAGCTTGTCACGACATCAATGGAATCACGAATTAACAATTTATTTAGCGATATATACAAATATTAATAAACGTATTAAAAATTACATATAATATTGCATTTTTTGATATACATATCACTCGACATAATTACGTTTTTTAGACACTTATATGTATAAGAATTCATTCAATATATTTTCAGCAGAAAATGTATAACAAAGCTATTTAAATTATATGTTTTTGTAGTATAATGCTTTTTCATATAAGACTAATGTCGGAAAAGAAATTTAAAAATTTGATTTTCTTTTCGATAAAAAATAGCTTGGATTAAAATAAAAACGAAAGATGCATTCGTATTTTAACATCCAAATAATTATCATATTTATTGATAAAATTCAGTCAAACACTAGGGATTTTTACATTTTAAAAGCGTTTTACTAAAAATAATGAGAATGCATTTAAAATAATAACTATATTGTACAACTGTATTTTATATTTATGTATACTGTTGTTTCCTACACCTTGTTATTGGCGGCTTGATCAATCGAGAAAAGAATTGAGTGAAGTAAAATTGTAGCATTTGCAATTGAAAAAAACGTTAGTGTAATCTTCCTTTTTTTGTTTAAAGCTAAGAGAAATTATTTTATTAACTAACAACATGAAACATTTAAAGATTCAAATTAATTGTAGCAAATAATAAGCTTACAATTATAATAGCACCTAAGTTAAAAGTACACATAACATAAAACTGGTATAACAAATATAATAAAATAACATATCCAGTATCCTTATAGATTTAATTTAAACAATCTACTCCCTCTAACTCAACATCAGCTATGTACACACGGCTGAACGGTTACCACAGTATGTCAAATTTCTTCAATCGATTTTGAATTCTACCTACAATGCACTAAGGTTTAAAATCAAGTGATGAAATTTTAGTTTTGTATAGCCTGACGCGCTGTTGAATTGTACATATTTGAAAAATAATAAAATGGTCCTACAAATTACTAGGTATACTTAACTGAAATAATAACAGTTGTTCTTTCTGTGTTTATATAATGTGTTGTTTTAGAGAAAAAAATAAGGCATTGATTTTTTAAGCCAGTTCGTGTTTTGTATTGATCGTCTAATATATTAATATGTTTTATGGTAATGTGTGCAAAACTTTAATATTTATTATTATACCAATATCTAAACATAAATCTAGACAAGCGACTTTTCTAAAAATCCAATAAAATGTAATAACGTTCATACATAAACATGATTAAAGCAGCAATGTATGATTTTTTCATAACAAAGCATTTATCTGGTAATAAATTACTATAAAAATACGCACGCATTAGTAGACTTATTGTTCCTGTGCCGTGCTTGAGAATGACATGCACTTGAACACGTGACAATTAGGAGACTACCATAGAAACAGTGAAAAATGAAAATGATAAGTAACGATGATAAAAATCGCCAGTGAGACCGTAGCCTTAAAGTCGTTGCTACTGGTTAAAAGGCTGATAAGTTTGTTGTGTCTAATTTTTGTAGCCAAAAGATGTCCTGCATGAGCGGTAGGACTTTAGCATTAGGAACCTGAACCTTGTCTAATTCAAAGTCTAATGTTTAGGTATTTTATTTTGTTTAATTACATTTCATTGAAATCAATAAATCAATTACCACAAAATTTCAATACCTTCAGTATTTTTATCAATAGTGTCTATTTAAAAGTAATTTTGTATTTTTGATTAATTTTGCATTCACAATGCCAAATTGAAAATTATTCTAAATAAAAAATGCTTAAAAAATCCCCTTGGGCCCTGGCACCTTGGTCCCTTTCCCATCTCAGGGTGCCAGGGACCAAGTGGTTTTTTTAAGCATTTTGTATTAAGTGTAATTTTGTACCGTAATTAACTACCTTTGACGTCGACGTTACGATACAAGAGCAAAGAAAATTATTCTTAATCCATGACACTCGTAAGAAAGTTTTTATAAGAAATATACAAGCGATAATATTACAACAGCAGCCATAATGATGCGTCAGCTGGCCAGAAAAGTCTGACAATGACGTCAAGACTTCGTAAATCATTGTTTATTTATATTAGTTTTGTAGAAGTGCATTTGTCTAGTCACCGGGTATTATCTTTATTATCTATATAAGGTTATTTTTTAACAATGTCAAATCTTCAATCGTCATTTCTACCATTAAATTTAACACCTTTCCCCGTAAAAGAAATGTTGTAATATGGAAGAGGAAATAAATATATAAACAATAATTTGACTCCTTTTAAAAAGGGCTTCAAAATATCATAGGTTATATAAACTTTAATCATTAATAACTAATATTAGTTATGCAATTAGGAAACTTCAAAAAACATAGTGTTTGTTCACAAAAAACGTCGAGTCAGCCTCCACCGACTATGTTATATATAATATAAGTAGTTGCGTGTGATGTATTGTCGTTTTGATGTGAACGATAAGATTATCTATAGAAACACAATTAACTGCGTAACGCTCGCTCACAGTCTGCAGTTGACCGTCAGTTTGGTATGAACGCAGCCTTACACTTAAAATTTATTTGAACCACACTACAAAAATAGAGCGAAAAGATTTTTTAATGATTTTACATATTTCTCTATGTTTTATCAACATTTAAGGTTAGAATCACCATTTTGAAATATCAACAACTCATTAACTAGAATCATATAAAGTCTAAAGCTACACACAAATCATAGCGCAGTGCTAATTTTGTAAACATAACAATATTGCTCCGTTACAGAAGAAGCTCTATATATACACAAGGGGTAATCAACGACTGAACACATCTTAAAGCCACGAATAAAATCAATCTGGCATATCTATGCTCGTAACAGGCACTACAGGTTTCATAGCTTCATTTTTCTTCTGGTTCTTGTGGGACTTTTTATTCTCTTTGACCTTTTTATGGGTCTCCTCGTCCCTATAAGGCTCCTGGTTGACAGGGGGTTCAGCAGGGACCACGTTCGATCCTCTATTGGTGTTGCTGTATGCGATATTCGCGTATTCTTGTAACAATGGAAAGACTGATAGTAGGAACTGGCAGAAGTCTTTTCTGATACCGAACCACCCTACAAGATAATATTTAACTCAACTACTCGTCGTCTAATACAGCCCACTGTTTTTGACCGCTGGAGTGTTAAAAGCCAACTAGACAGGTCACAATTAAAGTTTCGCACTGACTGATCAGTGTTTCTTGTTACAGATTTGTTCGTATTTTCGTAGCTCGATGTTTTTAGAGATGGGTAAATATATTAATAATGTCGATATTGATAATTAGTTTTATCATCATCATCAGCTTTAACGTCCCCACTGCAGGGGCTCAGAACTTCCTTATCTATAAGGAAGTTAAGGAGGATGGGCCAATACCACTGGCCCAATGCGGATTGGAGGGTATTAATGACAGTAAATGCAGCCGTGAATAACGGCTTAACGTGCCTTCCGAAGCGCGGAGTAGCTGGAGATAACAGTTTTTTTGGTCACCCATCCCGTGACCGATCCTTGCAAAAGCTTAACGACAATGATCGTGGCCCGCGGCGCTTATCCACTACGCCACCGAGCTATTCTAATTATATACCTAAAGCTTACTTTATTTAATATTTACCCATCTCTAAGAACGTTTACTGATCAGTAATGCCATAAAAATGTAAATGAAATATATTTCTTTCAGGGTTTTATTTAGTACTCCAGCGATCAAAATAGAGGGCCTTATTAGGTGACAGTAACGTTAGTTTCATTAACCACCATCGATTAACTGTCATATCATAATTGATCCATTAATTGGTTTGAATAAACTGTAGATTGTTTTGTTAACAGAAGTATTCACATATTGTCTTTACAGTTAATAATGCTTTTAAATCTTTTAAAAGAATTTAAAAGCATTATTAACATAATCATTTATTTCAAAATAAATAATTTTGCACAAGCGTTATTTACTATTTATTTATTTACTATTTCAAATTAACATCACACCTGAAGGTCTATTCTATTTCTCCGAAATCGAAATTCCGTCTGTGTATTTTCGAAATAAGACTAAAAAACGCATTTATCGATAATTTATAATGCAAATGAGGTAAGACCCGACACTGTCTCTGATGCCTCGATGATCGTCATAGATGTGATTTTAGAAAAAATATAAGAACTATTCGAAACTATCGAATTTTCAACAAACAGAATAGGGCTTCAGCTGTCATATTAATTTGTACGGGTTATAATGTATTTCACTTACATTTATTTCCACCTTTAGAGCTGAACGACATTATGATCAGTGTGGCATAGCTGACGAACAGAGGACTCACAACCACCATGTAAGAGAGAGCTAATCCATCATCCAGCTTGTTTGTCAACAGCACCTTAGAATTAACAATTAGATCATAACATGGTTTGTACACCTAACATAGTACTTTAATTATTTAGGTTTATTGTTTTTTTTGTTTGTTTTTTTTTTTTTTTTCAATGTGGACTTGTTCCGTTATACATATACCATTATACATACACGGAAATTTTGTCAACATCCCGTAGTGAGAGAGACATGTGATTCAAGAGACTTAACGGCAGTTATAATTACATATGTCTGTGTAATTAATAAATTCTTTCTTGAGATTGTTCTTTCTCTACTAAAAAAACAACACAAGAGCAAATATCACGATAACTACAATAATTTAAATACATAAAAGGACAACATAAAAGCAAATAACACTATAACTACAATATTTAAATACATAAAAGAGAATTTTGCAACACTTATTTTTATAATTTGATATTATGTTTTTTCCTAAATTTGCAAAGACGTAGAAATCCAGGTTTGTCAGAAATAGTAAGAAGAGAGTTAAGATTAACTGGACGGGGAGTTTTAGGTGGGAGTTAAAAAAAATGTGATCAGTGGTACCTTCTTCAATTCCACATTCACAAACAGAACTATTTAAAATTCGAATCTTTGCAAGAAAAACAGAAATCAAGTACCTTCGAACACAACACGTTAAAACGTCATATTAATAAAGGACGGTTGCTATGGTGCTATTGATTGATAATTCTTTCGAATTTGAACCGGAGTATTTGTGTGTTAGTTTGTCATTTTCTACGAGAATCTATCAATCAAAGTGACAGATTTCTTCTTCTTCTTAACTTTGGATCGCCATCTTTCATTCATTTCATTTTAATTTTACATGTAAAAAATATTTAATTCACTTGACATTGGCAGAATTGTGCGAAATGCGCAGATAAGCCATTAATAAAAGAAGAAGAAGAACTTTAATGGCACATTGCGTGCCAACTTCAAGTAGGAGACCATTACACGATTTAAATACATTCATTCAAACAAACAATTTTGAATTACCAATTCTATCTTTCTACATGGATTTACCAAAAAACAACACGTTAAACGATTTAAATACCTTAATTGAGGAATAATTTTATATAAACTATCACTTAATCATAACCATTTTGAGTCTAACCATAGACCATTATTAAATTAAATAATTGTGTTAAAGTAAGTAAGCGAAAAATAACACCACTGATGTTAAAGTTTTAATTGATTAATACTGAAAAAAATAGGGATTTGACTACTGAGGCATCACTAATTGACTGAAGAACAAACTTGCTATTAAGTGGGCCAGGAATATAATCGAAGGACTGGAGACGGTCTCTATGGTCATACATGATAGTCCTTCTTCTGTTGATAGTTGTTAATTTGGAAAATTAATCTACACAGCAATAATTCGTTTCGTTAATTATAAACTCTATCTTCAATTACTTAGGGTTTAAAATTGAATTCTGACAATTTGCTAAAAGTTTCAGCGCTATTCTGTTAAAAACACAGCGTTGTCACAATATTAAAGGTTCAAAACCGAGTTTTCTTGGAAAATTACGCGACCGTAGCGAGAGGTCCTGTCAAAGTTTGTTCACTGCGAACATTTACTATTTTTTATTTTAAGTTTCTATTTTTTTAAGTTTCTATTTTTTAAGTTTTTTATAGTGCTTTCTGTGATATTTATATTTTTTATATAATAGATAACACTAAAAATACTTTTCTGAAAACGCAACAAAATCTGTTCAGCCGAACGTGAGATAATCGCACACAAACATACAGGTAAACTGAGTACCTCCTTTTTTGAAGCCGGTTAAAAAACGATCATGCTTCTGTGCATGAGAGGAGCGGATCAGGGTGGTGAGGTGGAGGGTAATCAGAGGAGCGGAAGATCTTTAATATTGTGGAATAAAACGAAAATGCGCTCCGTGACGATTGCAGATTGAATGTGGATGAACTTTCTACAATGTTACCGCAAATCTTCAGATCTCTGCTAGACGAAACCATCACAGAAATCCTCGAGTCCGCGAGGTGGGTCTCAAAACAACTGATAAATTAACTCAAGTTGAATTGAATGGACGCTGGGCACGAGTTTTTGTGAGCTAAAAAATTCATGGAGATGAAATCTTTCAGATTACCTCCCTGAAGCTGCACATGGATGGAAAAAGGTTTTCAACCAATGAGGAGGCGACGGGGGAGATAGAGAAGTGGACGAAGGGTTTGGCGGGAAACTACTTCAAGCAGTATCACCACCTGCATTGGGAGGAACGGTGATTAAGTAAAAAAATAGCTTACATATGTACTATTTTTTTTTAACGTGCAATAATTCGGTACACTTACTTTCTGGATATGCTTCGTATTTGTAATGCTTAAATTGATTTTGAGAAAGCAATTATTTTACACTCATTGTCACGTGACAGAAGTGGCGTTTCGCGGGAAATTTGAAAATTAAATATATATTTCACGTATTACTATCAAATAAAAAAAAAAGTTGTTTACATTCCTATTGCTTTTGTGAATCTTACTATCCTAAATAATTACACGGTAAATATAATTCTAAAGCAACGCGCAAAGATTATGGACCGAGTTTTTTTTTTCAAGTGATTTTGAAGACTTCTCTCTACATTAGCGACTCTTGTGGTAAAGTCAATCGTTTTAGCCCATGACTCTATATAACTTGTGGCGCCCAGTACTAAACGAACGGTATACAAAATTTTATAATATCACTAATGATTTTTCACCTGAAACACTAAGATGGGTACAACAGTAAAGGTGTAAGCCAAGGCGGAGTTGAAGCTAGTGCGCCTCTGCTGTAAGTTGACTTCAGGAGTGCGAAGCAGAATACCCGCAAATATTATACTATACAGCACCCCTAAAAAAGCATTTTAAAAATCATAAATACAAAAGAAAAACACACATAAAGCAGATTTCCTGAAACAAACAATTTAATTAGGGCTTACTATTAAATCTATAATAGTAAAAGAAAATCGAAAAGGCAATCTATGTATTTTAAATCCATATTTTGTTTATATAAACAGATATCTTGATGGAAATCTTTCTGGTTGTTGCGCATTCTCCTGATTTTATTCCATTTATAGGGAAGGCCTATGCACAGATGACACAGAAATGTATAAATATATAATTAGTTTCTTGTCATTGATGAATGATAAAGTATATAACCAATGTATGCATATGAAGTCTTTTTTTCACATTTTCTGTAATTGATTGCAAGCAATGTAAATATGTAGTACAAAGTATAAAATAAGAATGTAACGAGTTCACACACGTTTGTGGTCGAATTTCGAATGTTTGGTGCTAGTTTATTTAAAAATGAGAAAGGGAGTCTATTAAACGACGTATTTTACCATCTCTTGTACAAGTTTCCACAAAGGTTAAAGGGCCTTTTAAGAAAATAGAAGGTGATACATAATAATAAAACTGTTTCACGGTTTATTGACTCAGAAAAGCTCTAAAATTAAGTAAATCAAATGACAAATCATTATAGCATTCCATTTTCAAAGTAAACCCTCTTGATTTGGTGTTAAGTTCGAATTAGTAGTTTATCTATATTATAAAGAAGAAAGATTTGATTGTTTGATTGTATTAAAAAGGCTCTGAAACCACTAAAACGATTTTAAAAATTCTTTTATCTATGGGAAGCTAAATTATACGCGAGTGACGTAGGCTATAATATATGCGGGCGAAGTCGCGGGAAAACGGCAAGTTTTTTATAAATTAGTAAAATTTAAAAGAAATACATACACTCACCTACTAGGCTGAGACACATAAGTATCCATAAAGGCACAAACACAACTTCCCAAGACCAATTGATGAAATCATCTAATTTTAATGCCAGAAATATAAATTGCAGAATATTTACAGCACAGAATAATTCAAGCTGTAACAAAAAAGTTAAATATTATACTAAATATAACACATAAATATTAGACTAGAGGTTGACTTGGAATTGAGCATAATCTTGTAATAGGTAATAGTACAGGTCATTAACAACATTTTTGCATTCCTATGCAAAAATGAGCAATTATTGAAAAAAATCGTAAAATCGTAGGTCATAACTGAAAAACTAAAAAAACAAAAACAAAGAAATAACTCAAAATATACTGCTTCTCGTTCTTTATTATGTCATATTAAAGGTCTAGTTACATATTCATATCATTTAATAAACTATAATGATGTTATTTTAGGCCCAGTTGTCGTAAAATCTAGAAATCTGCACCTTTAACTCAAAATATCACTATGACACATATTGTGCATATTATAGAAAAAAAAAATAACAACCCCCTTACAAGATTGTGCTCAAGTCAGCCTGTATACATCTACAGCAGAGTGATTATGTAAAAATCTAAACTCTAATTCGAACTCACTCAAATGGTCAGTTGCACAAACGTCCATAAATGTTTAAAGACGCCTTTAAGCTCTAATGAATGTCAAATTTATATAGCTAACGTCGCTTTAAACTAATGAAAATTTTAATGGACGTCTGTGCAACTGGCTGAATGTCTCTCATGTGTCTGAATTCACGTTACGAGTATTTAGCTTAGAAATTCTTGGTGGATTCAAAGATTGATTGATCCATAAGTAGCTCCGTGGCGTAGTGGATAAGCGCCGCGGCCCGCGATCGTTCTCGTTAAGAAACTTTCGCAGGGGTCTGTCACAGGATGGGTGACCAAAAAATAATTATCTCGAGGTACTCCGTGCTTCGGAATCTCGTTAAGCCGTTGGTACCGACTGCATTTGCAGTCGTTAATACCCTCCAATCCGCATTGAGCCATGGTCAGGGCCCGTCCTCCTTAACCATCCATAAGGAAGGCCTGAGCCCCTGCAGTGGGGACGTAAAAGGGCTGACGATGATGATAATGATATGTGACCGTATTTCAAAATTTTGGAGACGTTCCAGTTTTTTTTAAGCTTCCACTTAAATTTATATACATTTCTTACCTAAGTTCCAAAGAAATTAACTCTGAAGGACTGTTCATATAATTTATTTCAGATCAATTACCCTAATGTAATCTACTTATTCATATTACTGGTTATAAACTTTTCCAGAGTTATTAATAAAATTAAGAACTTACCTCATAACTACGATCATGTTTCACTGACCATATACAAATAGCTATTGATACTATACTGATAAAGATCAATGGTATAAAGACCAATATCCAAACATGGCGTTTGGTAGTCAGCTGATCACATACTAGTAACTCAAACATTAGCAAGATTAAATGTATGGCAAGACTTATTAACATTGCTTTATAGTGGATGTATGCCTCACCCTCCAACCTGCAATAAAATGTTTACTCAGAAAAGTTAATAAGAAATTATGTAGATATATTTTTTACAATATAATCATTGCTAATATATAAAGAAGTTTGAATTAGTTTGGACAAAACATACATTTAAATTGACATATACAGCTTGATTTTTATTTTTGATATAATATCCATATATTTTATGATTTAAGATTAATTACTTAGTTCCTAAAGTCTTCACTAGATAGCACCAATATTTATAAAAGTTTTGACCATTTTCAAAAATAGAGATTTTTATTGGTAAACAAATAATGGCAGTTTTCCAAATAACTACTCTAAAAATATATATTACTCAGTATTATTATCAAACGCTAATGATTAGTATTATAAGTCAAACTGAGGCTATATTAAAAGTTCTATTTCAGCATGTGTAAAATAAATATATAAATATTAAACAACATCACATACATTGCTCAGATTCCAAGATGAGTAGATAAAGCCCCATTATTATGGAGTATCGGAGACAACAAAGGTACCACAACATATAGGCTTGAGAAACTAGAGAAATGTGTATTTGCTACATTGACCCGATCAGAAAACAAAGCCGAGATCTCAGAGATGGCGACACCTTGAAACTGGTGTGCAAAGCCTTTTCAAGGTTGTTTGTTTAATATATTAATTTGTTTAGAATATTAATATTTTTGTATATGATTGTGTTTGTCTTTTGTGCTTCATAAGACATGTTAAGCCATTGGTGTTGATGATATCAGTAATATGTCAACTACCTAAATGATTTGCTCTAGTAGTACTATTAATAAACAAGGTTTAGTATCGGAGTAAATTTTTGCTATAATTGCAACTTTAGTATTAGTCCAAAATCATATTATACGGATAATAAGCAAACCTACTACTTTCTAGAAGTAAATATTACACCCATAGAACCTCATACTAGGTTAACCTTTGCTAAGTCTCTGTTTAATAATTTGAATTTTAACTAATACTAAGTAGTCTCAGTGTAAATAAACTCCAACGCTAAAAGTTGTTTAATAATAAAACTGTTGATGTCTATCACTAAACTTGATTGATATTAACTTAATTTTGATGTTACCCTGACTGTCAAAGCCATCTGCAATCTTATTGGCTCAGACACCCTAAATCTATCAAAGCGTTCCCTCAGTTAAAATGGCTGCGGTCACTTTTTTCTCTTGAAATGATTGAATTAACAAAAACGTAACTAGCAAAAGTTAATACTTCAAGCTAAATTATTTCTGGGCAATGACTGGGGGCTCAATTTAAGCATTTTAAATTAACATGTTTCATGGTAAACCTGATAATGTGTATGTTTGTGTGCTAAAGCCCTTATTCCTCTATGCAACATGCAAACAGTTACAATACAATGTGAAATATTTGAATGTAAAAAGGATATCCTTGAATTTTAAGTTTTGGTGTTACACAACTCTTTTATGTAAATCATAATACTGACCTGAAATGAGGATACTGCCACCAAACATATGTGCCAACTGTCGCACCAATCACTACTAGGAACTTCCACACCCAAATGGGTGTAAAAACAGCCCAGTAAGACCATGCTATTGTGTTGTCTAGCTTTAAAGCTAGTAGGGCAGTAAAAATAAGAAGGCAGGTATGCACTACAAATTTACTGAAAATAGATAATACAAGGAATGAGAAACATATGTATCTACGTAATAAATAAATTCATTCCGAAACAAAACTATTTACCTTGGATTGAAATCCTGAAATAAACTTTGCAAATTCATCGCCATACACATTCGCACAACAAACCAATTTTAACATCGCACGCTGGTGTAACTATTACTCAGTCTTAGTTTTACTGTAAAACAGCAGCTGTACATGACAGTCTTATCTTATTGCATGAAGTCGTGCACATACCTCTGTTTGTAATAAGTTATTTTTTATAATTTGTCACTGATCGATAAGTGTTCACAGCTTTTTTGACGGAAAGTCAATGACAAAGACACAATCACATTACATTCTGAGTAAGTATTTCATTAAATATAAAGATATAATTTTTACGGATAAAACCTTTCTTTCTAATTCTACTTTTTTGATATTGCAATCAAGGCAAAGCAATCAAATCAGTAATGTCAAAATCAGGGTTGCTAGTACGGTGCAAAGATATATCAGAACTGATATATATCGATATGATCGATATGCCAGTTAGATATTATCGATATATCAGTTGTCCAAAATTTTAACATCCAACTGCATTTTCACATGACATGTTAATTAAATAACACGTGTGACATTACTGAGAAATCTTGATTTTTTGCTTTGAAATTTGTCAATGATAACGTTTTAATTTATCCTCAATCTAATCGCTATCTATTTGAAGTGGCAATAAAACATTTTCCCATGCCTTCTGAACGATTTTCATCAAAAACAGCACGCATAGAATACCAGTCATGAGTGGCCTACCTCAAACGTGACGTTTCTCGGGTCAAGGGTGAGATATCGTATGAACGCACCGAGGAAAGGTGACATTTGCATGTAAACAAAACTCTCTCGATTTTGTCATACTAAGCGTGCAGAACCCAACATTACATGAACTAGGAACAGGGTTAGTAGCCAGTCGCCACCAATTATGCGCTATTTTTTAAATAGGTACAATGTAATTAAACGTATTTTATTTAAATGGGGTTTTAATAAAAAAAAATTTTATTTTACTGAAGACCTAAAAATATATCTATAAATATCGATATAAATATCGGCTGGTGTAACTCGGTCGAAACGACGGGAATATAGGTAGGTGAAAAACCTAACTATCAATATATAATATCCCTTTCATACAATCTAATATAAGGCAACCCTAAAGTTTATGTTTAAATATCGATATATCGGTTTTGTTAAGCGATTCGTTAATTAGTTAGTAGTCGTTGTTAGTTGGGTCAATCAAATCAATTTCTATATTGTCTAGGCATTGTGTTTTCTACATTGTTTCATATTTATATAGTACAGCTGCTGAACAATATTCATAAATTATGTTTTTTCAACATTTATTATATTGTTACGGAGCGCAGCGGCGAGGTTCATCTACGCATTACTACATGGTTTGGTAATGCCTCGAATATACCGGTAGGGCCGAAGAAACACCTAGATTTGGTATTTTAATTTATTCTTTTTACACCATTATTTACAATATAATGACATCTAGACCAACCGGTAGAAGAGCTTATCCAAGATGTGGCTGTATGGCTTAGCTCTCGCGGGACGAAACTTCTACAATAAGGTAGTTAATGAGGAAGTATTTAAAAAATAAAAGTTCTTGAAATCATATTAGATGTCACTCGCAATGTTTGGACATACAAGATCAGTAGCAATAGTTCAATAACTGTACGTGTCTTTGTGATTTTGAAATTTAAAGATATAACCTTACTGTTCATTTAGAACAGACGTTTCTTGTTGATTGCTGAATGTTTATCAAAATGATTTAATTGTGAATATAAGATTTAATATCTGATCATGGTATTTTGAAGTTTTAATTTCGAAAGCACAAGTTATTTGCACGTTACACTTTTCACAAAAGTCATTTTAACCAGAAGTCATGTTATTTTGTTCGAATCTCTAGTATACTTGATACATATCGGGTAAGTATATGGATAATAAACGGGTTTTTTATTATAATTATCGTTTTTAAGACTTTTGTTGCTGATTAATAAACCCTATTCCTACATTCACCATACATAATACTTGTATAAAAATATTATTGAGACTTGATGTAGTTTTGTTGTTGTAAGTTCAACAAACAACTAATAGCAATAAAATCAACTTACCTAGTTGTAATTGTTTTCAGAACTTTTGTTAAATATTACAATGAAATATTCCTAGACCTACTATATATAGGCGTAGGCATAAGTATTTTATTTATATAAACTATTTGGCGGTTACATTATTGTATATCATAGCTAAATGCTACTTTTAATTATATCGCAGCATTAATTCAATTTAATTCCACAATTTAAAAAAAACCTCTTCTCACTTCTATTATGTTAGTTTCCATTTTCCTCTATACAAATAAAAAATAAATTTATTCAAAGATTACTTTGTATTAATCGAGTTGCGTTTGCATAACTCGAACTAATTAAATTTCAACTTGATATTAATCCGAGTTATCCGATCCATAACAACACTGACAATTCTATTCTCTTTAGTTTAACGTCATGAATTGACGTTTAGATCCAACAATTTGTGCTGCCATTTAGTGACATATTTTTTTGTTGTTTCATTATTTTTTTAAAACTTCTTCATTGATTTCCCTAAATTAAAAAAAAACCTCTGTGCTCACTTCTATTATGTTAGTTTCCATTTTCCTCTATACAAATAAAAAATAATTTTATTCGATGATTACTTTGTATTACTCAAGTTGCGTTTGTATTACTCTAATTAAATTTCAACTCGATATTAATCCGAGTTATCAGATCCATAACAAACATTGACAATTCTATTCTCTTTGGCTTAACGTCATGAATTGACGTTTAGATACAACAAATTGTGCTGCCATCTAGTGACATACATTTTTGTAGTTTCTTTATTTTTTTTAAATACTTCCTCATTAAATTTCAGCTTGATATTAATCCGAGTTATCAGATCCATAACAACACTGACAATTCTATTTTCTTTGGTTTAACGTCATGAATTGACGTTAAGATCGTACAATTTGTGCTGCCATCTAGTGGCATTAATTGTTGTACTTTTTTTTTAAATACTTCTTCATTAACTGGTAGGTAAGAGTACAGTTTAAGGCTGCATGGTCATCCAGCTTTGCCTCAAAAGGAAAAAAAGAGAAAAGTCTATTATTACGAAAACCAAAGAGTACAGTAATAATACGGAGAAAACTATATCGTTCAAATACCTACTAACTCTGTGATTTAAAGCCGAATTTTGAAGCATTACTTTATTTGTCGTCATCGCAGGTATTAAACGGATATTTGTAAGAAGCAGGTCTTATTTGATAATATGGCATCTCCGTCACCTAAATCACCAGAACAAAATGAGAAAAGTAAGCAATACGACCGGCAACTTAGGCTATGGGGTGATCACGGTCAAGCGGCTCTTGAAAACGGGCATATCTGTTTAATTAATGCAAATGCACTTGGAACTGAGATAATAAAATCAATCGTTTTACCTGGTGTTGGATCTGTAACGATTATTGACGAGAATATAGTGAGTGATGAAGATATAGGCAGCAATTTCTTTTTAGAATGTTCAAGTAAAGGTTTGAATAGAGGCTCAGAAGCTCTACGTTTATTGTTAGAATTAAATCCTGCTGTCCAAGGGCATGCAGTTCAAGAGCCTCCAGATCAAATACTGAAAGAAAACCCAGAATTTTTCAAATCATTCAGTGTGGTTATAGCATCATCACTTAGTGAAAGAACTATTCAGGATTTATCACAACATTTGTGGGATATAAACATACCTTTTATTTTATGTCGATCTGTAGGATTTCTTAGTTTATTTCGAATTCAACTGAAGGAACATGCAGTCATTGAAACTCATCCAGAGAATGAACAAGTAGACTTGCGTTTAGATGTTCCATTTCAAACACTAGCTGATTATTTGAATGGGTTTGATATTGACGCTGTGGAGCTAAAAGATCACGGACACATTCCTTGGATTATCATATTGTATAAAGCTGTACAGAAGTGGCAGATTACCAACCCAAATAGCTGGCCTATGAGCAGAAAAGAAAAGAATGAAATAAGATCTATTGTACAAGAATTTATAAGAAAAGATGAGAATGGTGTACCGATTAATGAAGAGAATTTTGAAGAAGCACTGAGAGCTGTTAATACAGCTCTGTTACCTACCTTTTTACCAGTGAAAATTCAGGAACTTATTTATAGCAGTTCAGCAACAAATTTAAATAAAGATAGTTCTCCATTTTGGATAATGTGTTCTGCATTAAGAGGATTCATTGAAGCTGAAGGAAAGGGCAAATTGCCTGTTCGGGGAGTGTTGCCAGATATGACAGCATCTACAGAACATTATATAAAATTACAAAATATATATAGGGCCCAGGCAGTAATTGATGCTGAAATTATTTATAGAAAAGTTCAGCAAATTGTTGCACAGCTTCATTGTGAGAGTATAAGTGAAGCAGATGTGAAACTTTTCTGTAGGCATACTCATGATTTGTATTTAATTAAGGGCACTTGTATTGCAACTGAGTATCAATTAGGTGGATCAGTAGCATCTTATATTGCTAGGTATTTGGAGGAACCAGATGTAATGATGGTACACTATATACTGTTAAGAGCTGCGGAGATGTTCCGTTCAGAACACAATAGAGCGCCTGGTGATTGGGAGCCTGAAGCTGATATTGCTAAGCTAAAAACATGTGTTACTAAACTACTAAGTGATATATCTTGTTCTCCTTTTCCAAAGGATGATCATATACATGAAATGTGCAGATATGGTGGAGCTGAAATACACAGTGTGTCAGCCTTTTTAGGTGGTTGTGTTGCCCAAGAAGCTATAAAAATTGTTACTAAACAGTATAAGCCAGTAAATAACATGTTTATCTATGATGGTGCTTCAACAAACACTGCAACATTTACTTTTTAAACATAAAAAATAAAGATCTTGAATGAAATTATTTTTATTGACAGTAGTAATATGAGTTCTTTAAAATCTTTATCATTGTGTGCATCTAAGTTTATTAAGAAGCTATGAGTTTGGTTTTAGTGGATCAGTGTGTGTACATTACACACTGTGTCGTCAATATACCACATAACCTCCATAAGATAGTAAGATAATCCAGTTTCCCCACATTTTAAGCAAACAAATAATTAGTTGGTAGGTTACATTAGGTACAAATGTCTCATTCATACTGTATTTAATAATAAATTCATGTATTCCAAGTTTGATACTTATGGAAAATAGAGGGTAAATAATTATTAACCACAATTCAATTCTGCAAAGTTGTGTATTTTTGTATGGATATTAACCATTTATATTCTTATATTCAAGATATAAAAGTAATTGAAGAAAATATTTCATTAACAATTTTAACACATAAATTATATAAAATTAAACATATCACATGACTAAAATAATTGAAACAAACTATACATTTGGCTAAAATCCACATGGCAATAAAAGGTTATACCATTTAACAACAGTTGGGATCACTTTACATGTAGAACATCCCCAAGACTATTAAGTCTCTCAAAGTAAACACAACATTGAGAATTTCCCATTAGATATCTACTCATTTCACCTTAACCACAATTTTAATCGTAATGCATCTACACCATTAAGGTAATATCGAAATAAGCGTTTGTCTCGTACAAAGCCTAGATTTTCATACAACTTCAGCGCTGGCTTGTTTGTGATTTCTGTTTCTAAGACCACCTCATCTGCATTATCATTTATCATAGCCTGTAATTAAATATGGGAAATATAAATTGGTGAATAGTAATTTAAATAAAATAAATATTAAATAATATATAGATAACTATTAGATAAGTATATGACATTGTTCAGATCCTAAAACTAAGTGGCTAAAACACTTTTATCATGGCAATCCAAAACAATGAAGATACAACCATATACCTGAAATAACATATAGAAATAAGCATTTTCTAAATATGGGATATCTCAGAGTTGGTATAACCTTGAAACTAGTGTTTATCTTAAGGAATTGGAAGGCTAATTATAAAAATCTAATTTAATTTTTTGTGTATGAAGAAGACTAAATAGTTATTAGTATTTTTTTAAATTCAACATACCTGTATTGCTTTGCGAACTAATTTAGATCCAATCTTTCGCTTTCTGTACTTCTCATCGACAGCTAACATAGCAATATAACCTCTTTTTACAACATTGCGATGCATATCTAGCTTACATACAATGGCACCAATGCAAGTCCCTTTGTGAGTTGCCAAGAAACAGAGCTTAGGCCAATTGTGTATAAAATATCTATAGGTATAGATAGAATAAGGTTCTGATAAATCTTTTTGTATAAGTCGCATGATTTCTGGCATTTGCAGTTCAGATTCATATGATATAATCTCTATGTCTTCTTTTTGAGTTTGATCATTTTTATTGACACAATTATCATTGCTCTCTAAATCATTTTCACATAAAGATCTACTCATATGATGCATTGAAATGACCTCCTCTGCCTGCTTCTTGGCAGTATCATTACACTGTACACTATTTACATCATTTGAAACTTCACTTACTATGTCACCTTGAGCTTCTAATTTAACACACGTCTTGTTAGAGATTTCGTTTTTCAAGTGATCACTTGTTCCATTAGTTAGATTACTATTGTTGAAATTATTAATATGAAGAGAATTTGCCAAAACATCATTTAAATTATCTTGATCCAATATACTTAAACCGTCAGTAGTTTCAGAAGGATCTTTGGCCTTTTTGCTTTTGTTTTTCGCATTTGGATTGCATTGGATGGTTTGAACATTTTCATCCGCAAGATGATTCATATTGGCGTATTTCTACCTAGTATATTTACACATTCACACAAATATAAGCTCATACAAAATCCAAAAAAGCTTTTTACGACGATACATACATTCTTTCCATGTCAAAATTGCAGAAGAGTACCACCGACATCTTGCCAAGTATAGTGTTACTTTGGATCAAACATATAAAGATTTTACAGTACCAAATTTAAGAAAAAGTTCTTAGTCTAGAAGTACGAAATACAATATGAAAGTAATTAAATGAGAAATATGAATAAACTTCTTGAAAATGTTAGAATTTTCCTATAGGTTGCTAAACGTCTTCCACAATCACATTGGAAAAAAATGCAAAAGCATGTACAGAGTTGCCAGGCAAAAAAAAAAAAACAGGCAAAGAGTATGTAAAATAACTCTTGTAACCACGTTTTATCATCACTTTGCATGGCACACTAATACCAACATTATGCACAGTATTACAGCCGCCCCAGAAAAGTGGTCAAATACGCAAATATAGGTAATATTTACAAAGATGCTAAGTGAGGCACGATACCAACTTAACAGTCAAATAGCGTTGACTACCCTTGTTTTTATGAATATCGATAAAATTATACGGGATCTAAGTGGAGCCTAAAATATTTACTTTTTACACAATATGTTGATCCTCAAGTCTTGTTTGAGCACAAACTCGATGTATTTTATTAAAAGACTTCAAATTATATATTTATCTAAAATTTTTATGGTATTGGTTTTTGTTCTAGGTAATAAATTGGTAATTCAAAATTTATTTACGTCGTGCGATTGTCACCTCCGTAAAGTTGGTAAAAACTGGAAGCGCTAGTGTAGCATAAGGTCTTTAAAATGTCAAATAGCTACTTTTACATTTTACTTAAACGAATTTTACGCTTATTTTGAGGTACCTGAGATTCATTAAAGCAATTATGAATTACAGGAGTTACAAAAAGAGGTGCAAATCATAGGGAAGTGATTATTGGGCATATTTTTAATAAAATGGGATATAAGTACGCCATCTGATGAGCGAAAAAACGGTAACCTTCATTGTGGTTAATGCAAACAAACCATACACACAAGCTTATACTGAGATGACTGATGTTGAACACGGGTTCCACCCAGCAAGGAGCACCGTCAGTAATCTTATTGCTTATATGGCTGATGTAATACCTACAGTGGACAGCTGATGACAATTTAAAAAAGCTTTTGACTTAATTCATAATGACGTGTTACTTCTAAAGTTAGCGAGCGTCGGATTCACAACAACACCTGTTAAATTTCTTTGCGAACTATATAAGGGATAGGCAGCAATATGTGGATTATGCGTTATATCGGTCAGATCCTTATTACACAAGATCCGGAGTAAGTCAGGGCAGCAATTTCAGACCGCTGCAGTTCACAATGATGATAAATGACCTTTCGACTGTACTAAAATATGCGAAGTGCTTATTGTTTGCAGACGCCCTAAAGTTATATCTTCCTATTAAAGATTTAGAAGACTGTAAGAAACTATCAACAGATATAGTATAGTAGCTTGGGGCTTGAAAAACAAATTACAATGCAATACCTCGAAATGCGTCACGATGACTTTTACGAGAGCCCATGATCCCATGCTGTATACTTAGAAGGTCAATGGGAAAGATATATCAAGAATTACCGAAGTTAAAGATTTAGGGGTCCATTTTATATCGGGATTCCACTTTAAAGATCATATTAATAGCATATGTAGGATGTTCTTAATACCAAATGCTTAAAAAATTCACTTGGTCCCTGGCACTCTGAGATGGGATTCGAATCCACGACCTTTCGCAAGATGAGCTTAAGCAGTCGCCCGGATTGACCAGCGACCAAGTGGATTTTTTAAGCATTTTGTATTAAGAATATTTTTCAGTATAGCATTGTGAATTATTCACCAAATATCATATGTAGGATGCATGAGGTTTTACTAACAATTTCGTTATATAACGTCTTGGTTAGGAGTCAGCTTGAGTACAACGCAATATTATGGGCGCCTTATGAAAAGAAATATACTCTCATGTTAGAACGAGTCCAAAACAAATTTGCTAGGTATTTATACATGAATATAATTATATATAGCGTATATCCGTTTTATCCTTTAAACTACCCTACTTTGTTTCTTTTAGGAATGATAGGATATAACAAACTCACGGTTAGGAGGAATGTCGCATTTTAGTATCATATATATTTGAAATACTGAGAGGGAAGCTTCATAACGCGGATACACTGTTGCGTATCAGGGTACCATATATACCGGATATATGGCGCAGGACGTAGGTGCTGCTTCTGATGGTGCCACGTGCACGCACATCAATATAAATATTAAACAACCATTTAAAATAGATTTCAGAAAATTGTTGCCGTATATCGTAATATTTTAAGTGTTAGTTATTGTGTCTGTGTTATAAATTAATTTGGATATTGTTCTTAGTGATGGAAAAGGGTTTTGTAAAAGGACAGTCGGATAACCTAACAAAAGTATAAGTAGATTTTTTAAGTTTTCCATATCACATCAATCTGTAATATAAAAATGGGCATATGAAATAATGCAGTAGCACTAATCATCGTGTTTTTCCTCCTTAACTAAAATATCCACTATTGATCAATATTGCCATGGCCATACATATGCAAAATGACACCCAGAAAGTATAGTTTTGAAATAATATTACAAAACAAGCAACTTGTTCTTTATCCCTTCTAAAGTCACATGAATCTACTACTGTAGTCTTATGTGGCTAGGTATGTACGTAATGAGAACTTATAACTAACATTTTAAACCTTTGTAATTAGATTTAATAAACATGGGTTCGTTTTTAAAACAAAAATTAATAGCGTCGCAATGATCTTCTCAACGATAGTAGCTGTGAGAGAATCTACTCTTTCATAACTTTCAACTATTTTTTTTAACTTTTGTTATCGATTCAGACCTGCAGCGGCGATGATATGCTTGAAACAGATCACTGGGGGATTCGGTGGGGAGTTTAGGTCATTTAAGAATAAAGTTTGAAAAAACTGGAAGATATACAATGCTCACTGTATATTAATTGGAAAGCAGTAGAAATTGACATGGTCTCAGCTGTGATGATTACGCAAAGTATTGTCTTCGTACGTCTTTCTGGTACTTTGGTAAGGAATCAGAAAGGTGCCGATAGATTGAAGGCGTTCATCGACGTTCCTTGTAAAAATACAGTAGGTTACATAATGACTCTACTTACTACTAAAGCTATTAATATGATTAGCTTAACAGTATCAATTAATAATTTTAATTTAATAATAATAATGAGGACTATTGGTGAAATCCGATGGAATGCTATGAGAGGCTCAAGTGTGACTCATAAACGAAATAAGACACAGGTATCAAGTTTTGTTGTTCTCAAACATCATAGAAAAATATCTGGTATCATATCGGAAACTTTACTGCAGTTTGTGGATCAAGAACAAGCATTTGACTAAGTAACTTTAGAGCATAATACTGAGATAAAAAAAATATATGTTACCCTGCTGCTTTCTGTACAGTCTACTTATAAGGAATATACAGCATGTGTGGTAATAGACGGCATCTTTACTTTGAACTTTGAAACAAAATTACCAATAAATTAAAAAAATACAAAAAAAAAAATGGGTGCCTCATGATTTGACTGATCTGCAGAAAGAAACAAATGTTGAAACATTTGATGCCTTAATGAATCGGTATAGAAATGAAGGAATATTGAATCGAATTGTGGCATGTGATGAAAAGTGGATTCTTTATAATAACCGTAAAACAAAAATGCCATGGCAGACCCCAGGACAAACTCCAGGTCAAAATCCTAAAGAAAAACTTACCAATAAAAATCAAAACTTCCCTCGTATGGGCTTCCCGAGAAATTATGTACATGGGTCACTAGTTTTTTGGCAGACAGAAGCATTAAGGTTTTAATCGACGGTGAATGCTCAGACCTTCTGTCTTTTAATGCTGGTGTTCTCCAAGGATGTGTGCTATCACCTACACTTTTTCTTCTGCATATTAATGACATGCTGAAAATTAGCGGTATTCATTGTTATGCAGATGACAGCACGATGGACTCCACTTATAACGGTCGTGCAAATATTTCTCGGGAAAACGTCATTGAGCCGGAATCAACTTGTGTCTGTTATTGATTCTTCGTTAAACGAAGTCTCTAACTGGGGTCGACTTAATTTGGTCTATTTCAACCCTACTAAGACACAGGTTTGCGCGTTCACCGCCAAAAAAACCCCATTTGTCGTATCACCTCGCTTTCAAATCATTCCCCTAACTGCCTCAGCCAATAGATGAGATGAGATTCTTGGTGTCGACATATCGAGCGAGATCCAGTTCCGTGGTCACTTAGAGTTAGAAAGCTTGGTGTGCTTAATAGACCGAGGCAGTATTTCACTCCAGCACATCGCCTGCAGCTTTATAAGACGCAAGTTGGGCCCCATATGGAGTACTGTTCCCATCTTTGGGTAGGGGTACCCCAATAACAGCTTCTCCTTCTAGACCGCGTTCAGCGGAGAGCGACTCGAATCCACTGGCTCTGCGTAGAGATGTTGCTTCACTGTGCATCTTCTATCGCATCTATTACGGGGAATGCTCCGAGGAATTGTTCGGACTCATACCTGCCACTACTTTCCGCCATCGTTTCACGCGACAAGCAATCCACGCTCATCATTTGGATGGTTGGAAGTCCTCAATTGTACGTTTTTTTAGAAGTTTCCTGGCCCGCACAGTCAAACTCTGGAACAGTTTTTTGACCTTCAAATTTTAAAGCGTAGAGCATATTCGTCTCTCAAAGGCCGGCAGCGCGCTTGTAGCCCCTCTAGTGTTGCAGGTGTCCATGGGCGACGGTAATCACTTACCATCAGGTGATCCGTCTGTTCGTCTGCCCCCTATCCCATAAAAAAAGGTAATGGTAACCGTTTGGTGGTCTCAGTATGGTGTTATTCACTTTACTTTTCTCCGATCTGGTCAAGCAATAACGGCAGATGTTTATTGTGCCGAACCCCGAACAATGTTGGCAAAACTAGCAATAAAACAGCCCCGACTCATGAATCGATCTTCACCATTATTGCTCCATGACAAAGCGTGAACTCATACAGCACGAGAAACCGTTTTGACCCTTCAAGAACTGCAATTAGAAACAATTCGTCTTCCTCCATATTCGCCAGACCTTGCGCCAACGGACTACCATTTTTTTCGTGATTTGGACTATTATCTACGTGACAAGAAGTTTTCTTCCCAGGAGGCAATACAAAATGCTTTCACACAGTTTGTACAGTTTAGATCCTCGGAGTTCTATCTCAAAGGCATAAATGACCTTCCTATTAGATGGCAGCAATGTATATATAATAATGGTAACTATATTGATTAAATAAAGTCGTTAAAAATTTAAAAAAATAATCAATTTTGATTTTCAGTACAAATCGGCTATTTCTTACTTTTATTATATACGAGTATTTACAATATGTATATGTTTTTGTAGGTTTTATCTGCGGAGAAATTCCCAGTGATCCCAATTTTAGAATACAGTTTTATTACGGTTTAAAGTTAAAGTTCTCGAAAATCATTTTTTCCTGAATATCTCACATCCCCAAGGTCAAAGCGGCTACGACACATTCGTGGCACACACAGGCGTGGACTCTGCTGCTTTTTATTCACGTTTAGGAGAAATGTCTGCGTGTTTGAGAAAAAATTTAAAGTTACTGGGAATTTTAGTACCTACATAATACGTCTCTATATGTTCCCAACTTTGGTAAGTAATCGTCGAAAAAAATATATTAAGCTTCTTGATCTCTGCATATCAACGTGAAAAGGAACTCAACGGGTGAGATACTGACGGCGCGGGCAATTTGAAATCTCGTGGGGGACTGAGGCTTGCTTCAAGACGTAGCTAGGCTCGAGCTTCAATCGAATCGAACTCGAGTAACGAGTTCAGTACCCGGTTGACAGCCGGCGAGGCGGCGGTGTGAAGTGATAAATGCATGCTCATATACGCACGCCGCCTCTGCGCGATTTTTCTACATTTGTAAATAATTTTTGTACACAAATGCCCGTGAAGTTTCTACCTAATTATAGAAAAGTGTGTGAATTAACAGTTATAAATCTCAATTTAGATGTTTGGAAATTATAGAACGATAGATACACTTTTGATACAATCTTTATTAAGAATAAATACATGTTTTAGTTCCTTACGAATAAGTGGTGTTAAATTAAAATAAACAAAAAACATTTTACTAAAGAGGTCGGCGTGTAAATTCTGTGCTGATTGTGACTATCGCAAATATTCAAGTATTACTTGTGGATTGTGACATAAACCTATCAAGATATTCCTGTTCAGGGAAATGTACCTCAGGGAAATTTACCTTAGATTTGGGTGAATTTAAAAATCGACAATGGCGGATCGCGAACGTCCTGCGAAAACCCCCATCAGGGTGGGTTTTTATGACATTGAAAGAACTATTGGCAAGGGAAATTTTGCCGTTGTTAAGTTAGCACGACATCGAATAACGAAGACTGAGGTAAGAAAGAAATCGATGTAGCTAATAATTTGGTATTATTGAAAATCTAAAAATCTACATAAATCTTATAGATGTGATGAATTCTAGATTATAATTATGTAAATATAAGTATTTTATTAAAATTTGAACAATTACAATATAATTTTTGTGTACCTTGTATTGTTTTACTGTGTAATTTCTTTCTGTTTTCCTGTCTGTATGTGTGCAATAAAGATTATATTTTTATTATTATTTATTTTAAATTGTTGTTAAAATGTGTTAAATTACAAAATTATAAAATAAAAAAATTATAATTCGGTTACCTAATTTGGCTAAAGGTATATGATAATGGACTGGGTTTGGATTTTAAATAAACTGGAGCTTTCCTTGCAGGATCCCAGATTCTCCCCCCTCTCCCAGTAAAAGTAAAAAAAAAAAAGATTTTAAATAAGCTGTGTGAACTTGGACACCGTTATAGCACACATACCTACTTATCGATAGTATATAATTGCCAGTCACATGTAAAAAATCAACACAATTTTAACTATACTTGTTTTCGAAGTCCGAAGTTATAATGATGTGTATTTTCAACTTAATTTCGTTATTGCTGGGTCACTGTCCCTTTTATATGACAGAAACACAGAAACATCAGACCATAATCCCACGCGGCGTGCGATTTATGCGTATCGAATATTCTCGAAATAATAAACCATTGGTTATCCATGTCATGATCGACTTTTACAATGTCGCATATCGTCCGAATTACAGGACGAATGCGGCAATTATTACGCCATCGTTATCCTGAAACTGTACTCTAAAAAGCACGTAGAACTTAAAGTGCACTAAAAGTAGAACTGTATTCAGATCACATAGCATTGCTACAAAATCTAACATACTTTATAGACGTACGTAGAGGTATCTCCAAATCTTTTTCAAGGCCTTAATTCACACTGCCGCTTAAGTTGAAATTATTAAATATGAAAACGAAGAAAACGGTATTAGGCCTCCCGTACGATAAGATTTACAAAAAGGACAGAAATTCAGTGATTTATATGAGCTAATTGAAATATATATAATAGTTGATTATAAGTTGTTTCTCTTTATGGCGGTGGAAAATATCTAGAAAAAGATTCAATGGTACGGAAACGGAAAATTTGAAAATTCAGTTATGTATGCTCCCACGATCGTTATTGACGACAGGAACTACATTGTTTTTAATTCTTTTTGTTTCAATCATTTCCCAGAAAAATAATACAAAAACAACTACAAACCATTACAAACTTCCTACTTTTCCTACTACACACTATAATTATACTAATATCTTAATACATTTCTTACATATCAATCGAGTTAAGCTCACAGGATGGAATATAATAATCATAAAAAGAAAACGGGATAAGTAGATACTATAGGAAATTGTATTCCATCCAAAAACAAATATTTTCCGTTACATTTACAAAGTTGTGAATATTTATATACGTATAACGTAGCTTTTATTTCACTTTTTTTTAAATATTTTTGATTGCTTTCCTAATTATGAACGAGTTTTTCCAAATTGTAGAGATTTTAAAATGAAAAATTAATATTTTTCAAACCTAAACCGAAAGCAGGTTTCCAAACCCTTTACATTAACGGAACAAGTTTATTTACTATAAATAAACATTATAGTCATAAAGTCCATAACTTTTGATAAAGATTTAATTATGTTGTAAAAATAAACAGTACTTACCTCATCATCATCAGCCGGAAGACGTCCACTGCTGAACAGTGGAGTACTTACCTACTACAAATTTATTCAAACTAAACAAACAAAGAATAAAATATTATTGGTGACGGTAAAGTATGCGTAATCAATATATATAAAAATAATGAATCTTTTTAAAAATAAATTTTAAATATTCATTGAAGATAAGGTTAGGTTCTTATGGAAAAAAATGTAAAATCTACACTTTTCGTTTTCATTGTATTGAAAAAGTGTTGAGTTTACATTTTTTCTCTACTGTACATGTTTCGCCAGTTATTTTAACTCAATATTTTTATTACCTACTACTTACTCTTTGGATGCAATTGTTAAATGACAATAACCCAACAAAGTTCTTAAGTTATATAACAAATATATTAATACATACTTTATAAACAATGTGATAAAGGTTGGAAGATTTTAAATATGCAAATGTAGAGTTTTGCAAATTTAGAAAATTATAAAAAATATTAATCAGTTTTTAAGTATTACAAATAAATACAGAGTCTTTGACTCTACTACTGTATTTTACAAATGGAGTTTAGATTCAAAATATCTTGATACTTTTTTGTTTAAATAAAACGAGAAAAGCACGAAAATAATCTGCACTATCATTTTACGAGCGCTCATTGAATTCTTGAATCACACTTGAGATAAGATTTTTAATAAAAGTTACTGTTCATGTCCTTGGTTTTATAAAGGACGCTTGTTTACGCTAGTTATGAAAAGACCAAAATCTGCGTACCTCCTATAATCACACACCAAATATAATTTATATATTATTTTATATTAACTGTTATACTGATACTATATATATATACTGATAGCATAGTTTTACAAGAACTCAGTACTTGAAGTGCTTGCTATATCGACTTTAACTCAATGGACTCATATTTTTATACATATTTCCTTACAAATTGAGAAAATTTCTCTGAATACATTATCACAGAAAAATAATTGATAATTTTAGAATTTGTAGTTTTATATTGATTTATAGTAATTCTTGCAATAGTACTATAAAATTATAGTTTTGAAGAAGAAACGGAATTAGTTAAATGTCATTGGAAAGGTCATTTTTCTATTTGTACTGTGTAGTGTGCATTACGTGGCACATGAACAGATGTACTGGTCGTAGATAGGTAAGTATGACCTACTTTAAAACCTAAACTATTCGATTTGTCAGTGCGTCAAGTCCGAAAGTATTTAGCTAATAACGGCTTAATATAAAAGTTGTCATGGAAGTCATATTATAATAAGAAAGCAATTTGGTATAAAAGCCTGCTTAAATAGGTAATGTATTTTGTAGATATTATAGATAGCATCCACGCGACCCTAAATAGTTTATTAACACTGTTCTTAAAAGGGTTAAAAGATTATCAATATTTACATGTGTTAATACTCTAGTAATATTATATATGTATATATTTGTAATGTAATGGTAATGTATTTATACCCAAAACGCATATTCATTATAGAGTAGGTAAGACCTACCTACCAAAATTAATTTACTACTCGAGGTTTACATGTCATCAAATACACTACTTTTTTTCTGCTCTTCTATATTAAAAAGTTCCTACAATCTGTCATTGAACGGACTAGTGGATTGCAGGAATTTTTACATATTTTTTGTAGTAAGTCGTCGACAAAGAAGTCGGTCAATGACCTAAAACTGCCGCGTCGTAAATGACTCATAGCATGCGTTCGGTAGACAACTTTCTAACACCTGAGTGCAGCGAATAGTTTGAAAAACTACGCCGCGCGTTTCGTATGCATCAATTAACTAAAATCAATGTGATGACGCGTAACACCAAATATACGAGGACGCTACATTGAATGAAAGCACCGAAATAACATGCAGTCATGCCCTCGGCCTTCACTGCTGTCTTATTGTAAATGTTCGTGTCGAATGTAGTGAGCTACTGTTATTTATTAATCTATGCTTTAAATAATTAGGTACATTATCTATCAACATTATAATTTTTTTGTACGACTGTTTTTTTTTGCAAAAGGAAATTTAAATTTGTGATTGTATGTACACACGCGTCAACAAATTCAACTTTGTGAGTTCACTTGGTAAGTCATTTTTGAGAGTAAAGCAATGATAAAATTTTGTCTATTTCAGAAATGCTAATACGACTCTAAAGAAACAATTTTTTCGATAATTTATGATGCAACTGAGGAAAGACGTCACTGATGCACATATAATCTTTGCGGAGATGATTTTAGCAATATTTTGAAAGCGATTCGAAATTTGAATTTTTCGTACGAGGACAAATAGAATAGGTGACATATTAATTCGTCCGAGTTGTAGACTCCGTAAATGTGCTTTAACATAAAAACAGAAGCGCTTAATGTGTGCGCATGATGATCACGACGTATAAGTCTGGTGTATATTTTGCCAGGAAATCGTTTCGTACGGCACGCGTTCCGCTTACACTGAGCTTGAAAAATGTACGCTTGACGCAAATGCGTTATCTATTTTGGAGCTCTGCGTCAGCGGCTCGCTGTTATCTGCGTTTTGCAGTCTGGCGGTCACCCGCGGATCCATCTTCGATTCCTACAGAACTTTCACCATTAAAGCGACCTGTGGCAACGACACATTTATGATCTATTTAAATACTCAGTGTTGACGTCTTTCGAGCTGTGCTTTTATTGAAAAGATTCCATACGTGACTGTTGAGGACATTGGCCACCAAAATAACATTCTTTTTAACTTTGAAACAAACAGGTATATAATATTTTAATTTACGGTATAAAAACAGTTTTTAATAACTTTTGGCAACTTTGTTATAGAATTTCATTGTTACTTACTCTTAGAGACAAATAAAAGCTAAAAAAGAAATATTTATCAAGGGCTATGTTTGTATACTGCTTAACTACAAAACATGTAATCCAAGTTTAATATTTAACATAATATAAGAATCATTAAACCTTTTTTCACTTTTTAAAACCGATCAAGATATAAACGTAAATTCGAATATTCTAATACAATTACTTTTTCAACTTATGTATATTTTTTTATTTTATGTAGATATATCTATATAAGTTATTTATCACATTCAATGAAATGAAATAGTCGTGTGTCAACACAAGTAGTCGTAAACTTAGTCGTAGGTTAGAATTTAGAATCCTATTTTTATAAGAATTTTCTTTCGTAGAATTAACAGATCAATAGCGCAATGTGACATTCGAACATTCTCGTTTTGAATAAAATCTTTAGCTAAAGAAAATTTTTAGTATTTCAGTAGTAGAGCTTCCCATTTATTTATTATATACTTTT